AACTCATTTAATCTTAATACCAAACCTTTCTATTATTCTCCTAATTTCTCGCATTTTATAATGATTTAACCTGACATCCTATTTCTTATAAATAAACCATATTCCCATTGAAAAAAAGAATAGTAATCTGATGGGCACTCGACCAGGTAACATATGACGAAGGAGAATCCCCCCAAAAAAGCTCATTCTTATCGACGGCGGGAACTCAGGGCTATCGGTTTTTGTTTGGCAAATCTCATTTAGATTTGACTTTTTTCCGCCTTCCTTTTTTTTGTATTTTGCTGCTTTTGTTTGCTTGTTTTGGTTTAATTTTTGGGGGAAATGGGAATGGGAATTCGTTGTGGTGAGGCGGGTCAGTTATTCTGTTGAATAAATTTTAGGAAGTTCATATGCCAGTGAGTAGGATTTTGTTATTTTTCAGGGCCCTTTATATATATCTATAACTCTCGCTCAGGTCATCGAGCATTATTTATTGCCCCCTTCGAAGGCCGAGCGTTCAATTTTGACTTGCAAATCTCTATGACTCTCATTTGTGGCTAACACAACGAAGCCGAAAAACGAAACTGATTGACATGTTTCAGCCATAGAAAAAAAACGATGTATAAATAAAATAGCAAAAAATCGATTAAAAAATAAAGCTATAGTCAAGAAAATATCAGTTTTATGCTGTGCCTGGCAATTTTATTGATCGTTGCTTCTTCAGTTTTGTATCGAATTCAGTTAATTGGCCAAAAAAAAACTCTTAACTGGGCCAGCCAGTGCGCTTTTTGGCTTTGTGAAATTCTAGAAGGATGACCGGGCATTTATTGAACAAAATTAATAAAAAATTAAACTAACAAAAAAAGGTTTTTCTTGCTGAATGAAATTTTAGCAAAGTTTGTTCTTTGATTTAGGAATTAGTCATGTTTTTTGGGTTTAAAAAACAGAGAAACTGGTTTATTATAATGTGTAAAGTTTAATTAATACATAAATTATGTTTTAAATTTTGTATTTGGTTAAAAAGAATAAGGAAACTTTTGTATTATAAAGTATAAAATAGATCCAAATAAATAATTTAGATTTCAAATAGCTTTAGATGTTACTTCTTTGCTTAAAAACCATCATAAAGTACCAGTTTTAAAAACATGATAGTTTATATATTATATTTTAAGCAAGAGCTAATCTTTAAAATCTTAAAATATTTTAATCTTGTAAGTTTCTTATAATTTATAATTTTAAAACAAAAAAAAACTATAAATATAATTAAAAACACTTTATGTAATGCATTTCCAACCAAAACAAAGACGCTTGTTTTTATTTAGAAAACATGTCCCAAATACTCGAAATGTTAACAAAGAAAAGCTTTTACCAGCCTTATTTCTTATTTCTTTATAATATAGTTTAGTTTTAAAAGCATCATTATGAACAATATCCAGCAAAATATAGAAAGATCTAGCCTAATACCCTCTCTCTCTAAATATATATATATATTTCCAACATTTTTTTTCCTGAACTTTCAAGTATGTGCATAGTATATATATATATATATGTATATGCGTTTATGTGCAATGTATGTATGTGCAGCGATGACGAAATAAATAAAAAGCTTTTTTTTCTGTGCGCTATTCGCTTCCTGCATTCGAGTTGCAAAAATGCAACGCTGCGTATGAGTGATCTGCTGAGCAGAAAATCATCAAATAGCTAAAATACTAAATACTAATACTATAATAATAATAGTAATATATATACATAATAATAATAACTTACCATTTCAAGCAAAAGTAATCCAATTGGCGATATATCCATTATGTTTTTCAGCAGGCCAGCAGCAAAAATAAATTGATTTTCTTATTGTTTTAAGTTTTCATTTGAGTTATTTTCATATATTTTGCACTTATGTTTTGTGTTGTTTTTCTTTCTTTTCTTTGTTGTTGTTGTAAACTTTCAGGCACTTGTTGAGGAAGGGGTCAGGGGTAGGTTGAGGGGGGTTGGGGGGTGGGCTTACCCCGACCAAAAACTCTGTCAAAATTGCACCAAAAATAGTTGGCTTTATTTAATTGACATTTCACAGGGGGCATTAAACACACTGTAACTTCGTTAATAATTTTGTGTTATTTTTAGAACTCTTTGTAACGCATTTTAATTAATATTAATATTTTTTGCACAAATATATTATTTGCCGAAGCAAATTGTTTAATTAGAGACGCGGCGCGACGCGGTTAAGTGGGCGGGCGTTGTTTTTTTTTTTTTTTTGTTTTATATATTTTTTCGCGACGTTACAGTTACGTTTTCAACAATTGATTTTTTGTTGCAGTTTGCTTGCTTGTTTTTTTTTGTAGTTGTTATTGCTGTGTTTGTACAAAAGCGAAGGTTTTCCTGGCTGGAAACGTAGTCGTCGTGGTCGTCGTCGTCGTTGCTTGGGGTGCAAAGAGAATTAAGAGGAAATTTTTGCGACTTTCCGTTACAGCAGTCAAAAGACTACTAAACGGCGAAACGCTTTATTTTTGCACACAAGCAGCAGCGCGCACTGCACTGTCCCGCTCGCTCACCCACACAGACGCACTCCTGGCCCGATGGCAGAGAAACACACGCGCGCGACGCCGCTCAAGTTCATGCTCTGAACTTCAAAGCTTCGCGGGTTACCTTCATGCACTCTGCGAAAGAGAGCGGCGAACGTGAGCGTGTGTGAGGCGTGTGCGAGTGTGTGCGTGGGAGAGAGCGAGGTTAAGAGAGCTCCGGCTGTGATTGCAATTGCAGTTTGAAAAGCTTGCTGTTGGGAGAGTGAAAGAGAGAGTAGAGTGAGTAGAAGGAACTACAGTTGGGCTTCGAAAAGTGGGATTTCTTAAGAGAGTGTGTCCATCTCTCGTAGAATCTTTCGGGTTAGTTAGCTGAAAATTTCAAATGAAATGATGAAAAAATTTAGAAACTTAAGCTTCATAAATCAAAAGTGATTTTAAATTTGATAAATTTGTGTCAAAAATAATAATAAATAAATTTTTAAGTTAATTTTTCAATTGATTTTAAATCAAGACCAAAGATTGAATGTTAAACTTTAATATAAGCAAAAGAAAATAAAAATGTTTAAAGTTGTTAATTATAATTATTTACAAAGGGCCAAAAATATAATAAATAATTTAAGAAATTAATAAAATGAAGTGATGATGAAGTGATTAAATTTGAGTTAGTTTGAATTATTTCAAAATCGACGTTAATTTGGTTCTATTTTCGTAAACCGGCTATTTATTGAACAAAACAAATGCGTACAAAAGTGATACTTGAGAGGGATATCTTTGTTTCGTTCCATTAATATGTAAAATATACAAAGCGTGCCCGAAAAGTTCAACAAAGGATGGGGAGAATGGAAACCTGAGAGCTGGCAGCTTGTTGCCTATGTGGTCTTCAGCGAAGTGGGTATCTTTGGCAAGCCAAATTCATCCGTTTCAATGGTGCTCTGCAAAAATTTGTTAACATATATGTTTCTACATAAAGTTCTACGCCTTATAAGTAAACATACCTTGCCAGGCACAATGCTATCGGCTCCAGGCTCTCGACTCGGTGCTTCCGGAGCCTTGACAACGTCATCCAAATAGCTGGTGTCATCGTCCAGGGCTATCTCATCGCCCAGGGCATCCAACTCGGCCTGCAGGTCATCGTCATCTACCTCGGGCATGCCGTAGGTGCGACCCAGAGCCTCCTGCACTTCGTCCGCCTGCTCAAACATATCAGCCATGTCGTCTTGGATGTCCTGCAAGTGTAAAAGTTGAATAAAATGTATTCTAAAGGTTCCATTTATATGTAACGTTTCCTTAATTAAACATTTATTTCATGGAAAATATTTGTGGTGTATATATTTACCTCGATCTGATCAATATTGATCTTCTTGTACTCGGTCTTCATCTGCTTAACGCCATCCTTCATGGCCGCCACAGTGGCCTGAGTATCCTTAAGGGATTGTGCGGCATAGTTGGCCTGTTCCATGTTGAAAGATTGATTGCGCAGAGATTCTGCCTGCTGTTCGTAGCTAAAATATCAATGGAGAGTATATAAGTATCAATAACATCAGTGTTAAGGCAATATAATAATAAAAAACACCATTTAAGGGATTAAATCTGGTTAGACCAGGAAAAAAATCAAGCTAATTGAGTAAACAAGTCAGAACTGAATCAAAATGTCCACTTAGCATCCAATAAGAGGTAAATGAGAAACCCCGAATCAGATTGCTTTCCTCTAATAAGAATACGAGGGCGCGGCCCCAAACACTTACGCCTTCTTTTGTTTCAGCACCCGCAGCGCCTTCTGCTTCACGGAGTTTTTGGCGGGACCTTCGCGCATTTTGGACATTTGTTCGCGGTATTTGCGCAGCTCCGTTTCCAGCTTATTGATCTTCTCCTCAATGTTTGTGGCACGGGCATCCACCTATTTACAATAAGAAGTAACAAAAATCTATAATTTCGTTGTTTCCTCGCAAGATTTTCTTGGCTTACCCCGGCTATGCAATCGTTTAGGCTTGGGCCCGGTTCCTTGGGCTTGCCGCGACCGAAAAGGCGATTCATTTTGCTTTGATTTTATCTTCACAACTTTAAATTTAAAGAGGAACAAGGGTTTCCCAGTTAATTTCGTTTTAAGAATTTGTTTGATGACTAATTGTCTTCTTCTTCCATCCACTGACATCAGCTGTTCGGCGATCGAGCTTTCCAACACTGTGTTTTGGTATTATTGTTATCGATATTTTGAATAATTTAAATCTGAATAGTATGAAAATACTTTTGAAACCACTTAAATAGTTTTGAAAGCCTGTATTTTTGGCGCTTCAACACCGAAATATTTCAATTCTTCTTATATATTTCCATTTCTAAAAGCCTTCTTGAAACTATCGAAATTTTTCGACCCTTGTTATTGAAGGTGTATATAGTAGTATTTTTTCTGAAACTCACGTCATTTTTTAGTACGTTTCCGCATGCCTTGACTGGTATATTTCCCTCGTGCCGCCACGGTCACATCATTCGCATTGTAATAAAAAAACAAAACGGGCGGTAAAAGCGGCGCTCCGAAGCTCTTAAATAAGTTAATTCCGACTAATTAACTATTTGGCAGGCAAAATAATTGTTCAAAGCCAGTGTGCCGCAAGTGTTTTAATTGTAAAATGCGCGACGCAAAGAGATGAAAACGAAAGCAGCCAGCCGGGCATTGCAGATTTTTCCATCACTTTTCGGGCATTGAAAACGAGTGCTAAAAATACACAAAAAAAACAACCACAGCAACAAACAACATTGCCAAGTATTAGCAAACAAAACTGCGTAAATACGGTGGATGAGAGAAATAATAGAAAGAAAGTAGCACACACAGCCAAAAGGCAGGGGAAAATTCAATAAACCCCAGCACCAGCAGCTGCAGCTGGCCCTTTGACGTCACGGCCAATCAGCTGTTGGCTCGGCCCGAGGAGCACCCAAAGCCATGACGTGCAAATAGTAACCTTTAACCTACACACACACTCCTGAGTATTTCCGCCATGGATAGCGCCATGTATTATGCCAAGGAGCGACTGGCGGCGGCCATCACGGAGGCCACGGTCGTGGCCATGAACTCCAGTTCCTCCACTTCCACCCCCAATGTCACCGCATCACCACGCACCGACGATGGCGGCGTCTCCATGAACAACTTCTATCCGGCGCTGGTCCAGTGCTTTGGCATTATCATTTGCGGGTTGGTATTTTAGGCATTAAACCCACGCTTGCCCGATTGGGTTTCTTATCGATTTTGCACATACATATGTTCAGTGGGTTTTTTGTTTCACCCTTAAGTGCCATCTGGTTTGGCATTTAATAGAGGTAGCTTACATCAGAACTTTTAGTTATTTGGGAATATTTGTATAAAAGAATAGCGAGATCTCTCCAGTATGATCCAGTTTTAAATAAATCATGGGCAACTCATTAAAAAGTTTATCATCGTTTTTAAAGGGCCATAAAAGCCAATAAATTAATGCGTGGCACACTTATTGATTTTGGCCGAAGTTACCTTGAACCCTAAACTTTTATATACAAAAAAAGAAAAAGCTTATGAAGGCCCAGAGATTCATTAATAATTCATAGTATTTGCACATTTCATCACCTTTTTTGTATATTTTATTAGGTAGAATCGAGCAAAGCTTCTATGGAAGATAGGTATTAGATAGAATTATTGGGATACATATTTACAGTTTAAATTATCAACTGATATAACTTTTAAAAGCGTACATATAACGACACAGCAAAGCGAACACAAAACCAAAATAATATAATAATAATATGTACGGTTTATTTGTACATACCAAATGATCGCTTTTGTTATAACAATTACAATTATCTTGGATCAACAACTGTAGTTTTTAATGACAGATAACACCCGTTTGGGTTCAACAATTACGGAAAAATTTACCACAATAAAAGACTACCTAGAGTTCCATTTATTTCTCTTAATTTATAAAGGTCTCCTGACTGATTTCCCAAACTCACATAATATATATAATCAATTGATAGTTATAGCAATATAATTTCAATATTGGCACATCCCACGCGGGTCCAAACTCTGTCTGTTATTGTTCTTATCAACTTTCATTACTTCTGAGTAGTTCCAAAGAAAGTGACTTGATTGCCCGAGCACTTGTTCGTACAGTGACCAGCACTTATGTCGCACACTGTCCCTTTCATTTTCTAATTCTGTGATTTATTTTTTCACCCACACTTATCGATTGACACTCGAATTTTATAATCTCTCCGACAAACTGCTGTCTCACTGTCTGTGCGTACTCCAATTGCCTTTTTCAAACACAAACAGTGAACAAATTATCTTTAATCAGTGAAATTAATTTTAATGGTTTATTTTTAGAAGGCCAATTTATGGCAAATTTGAGATTTATTTGGGTTAAATTTTGCAAGTCAGCCGAAGGGAACGTGGTTAAAAATAAAATGTAAAGTAGAACACGAAAACAATCGTTGATTTAAGGGGGAAATCTTCTAAATAAGGATTAACTCTAATATCTTTATAAATCTCTTTGAAGAACAACGGTAATGTCAGTTTTAAATATATATATTTAATTAATTAAACTTAACTGGAATGTTCATTTTGTTATTCCCAATTTTATTGCCTTGTTTGTGCTTAATTAATGCTGCAGTTCTTTGTGTAATTGCGGATGCAATATTATGCTAAATTTGTACTGCGGTTTTATAAAGGGTTTATTTACATAAATTACAAAATTTCCGATTAGTCATTAAAGTCGTTACCTGATATATTGATTGATTACTCAGTTGAAAAGTATCTGAACTCACAAATGGGAAATTCCTATGTTTCCCTTGGGTTTTTCATATTTTCCAATGTTTCCTTGGCTTTGAATAGCAATTACACCTAAAACAGATTTTTATAAGTTTAGCAATAGCAATTAAACTTAATAGATATTTCACAATATAAACTGAACTAATTCCTGGGAAATTGCCGTGAAGCCTCCTATTAAATTTTCAAAAATTGCTTAACAACAATCACTAACTAAGGGAGCGGCGGCAATATGTAAATTTCCTGACTTCCATATTAATCTTGATGTATGCATCTGAGCCGAAACTTAATTGCCAACTGGGCAATAATCGAAAGTAAAACGTAAAACGTTTAGAGAGTGCGAGAGAAAAATACAAAAAAAAACCATATAGAAAATCAACAAAACAATTACAAAAGTGACCTTGCACCAAACAGTGTTTAGCATTTTAAGCCTGTAAATGCAATAACAACAACAACAACAATCAGCCACTACACCTGAGGCAATATTTGCACTGTACTTATATTTGCGGATTATGCAATCGCAATTACCGATTTGTCTACCGATCACCGCCAATTACTGAAATCTATATGCATGCCAAAAGTAACAAAAAGACCAAGTATTCAGGCACAGAGACAGATGCATCTACCCTGACAACTGTTCAATCAAATATATAATGTAATAATAACAGCTTTAGTATAATACAAAGCCGGCTGCATTTAAATGTATTACTTAACCGTACTCGCGATCCGTTCGTTGGCATCTGAATTAATGTGATTGAGCTTCACTTTCAACTTGAAAAATACCCTTTAGTTAGAGAGCATTATTTTATTTAAGTACCAAGCTTACCTTTACATTATTATATGTCTTGAATAGAATAGAAAGTAGCTTAGTGTATTTAAAGTTGAACTCAAAAGGATTAACTAGTAATAATAATAATAATAACTTTCCATATACCTCTTATTTTTAATCTTGATTGTCAGATGACAATTTATTTATAAGTGCTCACTATCATATTAATTAATAACATAACAATTACCCTACCTATTATTACAGAACATAATAAATATAAATATTAAATACCTCCCACCCTTTTAATTATAGGGTAACAACATGACAAAGATGCACATCAATCCCAGTTTTAAGTGGTGCTCGTAACGCAATTAACTTTAACTTTACGATTTGTTATCAGATTGAAAATTTACCTAATCAGTTATTTGAATGATGATGAATCTTTGTTGTATTTGTTATTGTTCTCTCTGTGATCGACTTGCTGTAGACTTTTAGAAAGGGAATACAAACCTGATAAGGGCTTTTAAATAGTAATAATAAATGCATGTGTAAAGGTAAACAATTCTAATCTAGAACCTGGCAGCTGATTCTTTTGTCTTGGTAAAATGTAACTAATTTGAATGATTTGATTTAATCTACTTTTCATACTTAGTAACAGCTCAAAGTGTTATTATTTATGTCATTTAAGATTTCACTTTGCACTTGAAAGAACATAAATATATATAACAACAATTATTTGTTGTTTTTTGTAGTTCTGCTGACTAATTTCTGTTTTGTTCCTCTTGACTGACTTTCTAGAACACTTGTTTTGCTCCACAGACAAAATGGGTAAATAAGGAAATATTTATGTTGACTTTTTCAGTTACTTTAACTTTTGTTTATACAAGTCTCAGGGCTTCGTAGGCCAAAACAGCTGTTAAAACTGAAAAGTCTGAAGAAATTATAGGCCATAAATTATACTCATTCATTTAAGCTTAATAAAATTGTTGTAAAAGTCATTCATGAATAAGTTATCTTACTTTTATGAAGTTGATTTAATTTATTTGAAGGCTAATAAATATTATTTGATTAAAATGCAATTATTTAGAGCTCCTTTTCTATTTATAGGGTATTTCCTTTACCTTAACTTGAACTCCTATGTAGGCCCTCTTCCTTATCAGTTATGTCTTGTAACCTTTTCAAGAACTTATTGGTTTTACACACTACACTTTAGCAAACATTGATAATGTTCACAAGTGTCTTGCATTCCTAAGAAAAAGCTTTCGCACAGAAATATCTTTATATATATTCTGTGACACATGGTATTTCCAGAACTCAGAAGATGAACTTAAACAAGAGATAACAGAGATAAGAGATTTTCTTACAGGTACTTCCCTACAATAAAATCGAAAACATCTGCCATAAATCCCGATCGTATAAAGTGCAATAAATCCGATTGAGTCATACGGAAAGGTCGCTCAACTAGGGGGGGATGTACACCCTACTCCAGATTACCAGACAATCCGACAGACAGACTAAAATATACACTGCGCGTCATCAGATTAGCGCCCCCTGAACATTCTCTGGTAATGTCCAATATTATCCAAACTATCAAGGCTAAAGCCATAAAACTTTTTTTGACGTTACTTTTAATAATATTCTTCAAAATAAGATAAGGTACATAATGATAAGTATAACAATAATATTTTATTTATTTGAAAAGAAAATGTATACCAAAAATATGAATTTAATTTTGCGTCATCAGATTAGCGCCTGTAAATTCAAATTTAGTTATTTCGCGTAATTTTTGGCGTACAGTTGTGAAATTTTTTGTGCTGATTAATTGAAAAATTGTTCATAAACTAAGAATCAAAATGGGTAAAGGAACTGTCCTATCTTTAGAAGAAAAATCTAAGATCGAAGCCTTTAGTGAAAGTGGCTTATCTTTACATAAAATTGCTAAAAAAATGGGAAGGCATCGAAAAACTATAGCCAGTTTTCTTTAAAATAAACAAGGCTATGGTAAAAATATGAAAGGCGGTAACAACAGAGTCCTTTCCGAAGCAGACATTCGGTCTACAGTTAGACATGCGTCTAATTCACACGACTCTTCTACCAAAATTAAAGAAAAAAGCGGTGTGGAAGCTAGCAAGTCCACGGTATTACGAGTCATAAAAAAGCAGAACACTTGAAAAGACTAAAACTAAAAAAAAAAACACAACTAAATAAGTTACGAAAGGAAATGCGCCTAAATTTTGCTCGCTCGCATATGACATGGTCGAAGGAGTGGCGCTTTGTAGTCTTTTCCGATGAAAACATATTTAATTTAGAAGGCCCTGATGGCTATAATTATTATTTCCATGACATGCGTAAAGAAGAGCATATTTTAGATCGTTTACATAGCCGGGTAGGTGTTGTAATGGTATGGGGAGCCATATCCCATTATGGCACCTATGAGTTACAATTTCTCACCCCAAAAATGAACGCCGTGGCGTATAATAATCTTTTAAAAACGGCTTTCCCACACTTCCAAAATTGTTTTGGAAATCTTAAATGGCGTTTTCAACACGATAACGCTCCAATCCATACTGCCCGATCTTTAAAATCGTGGATACAGGGCCAAAACGTTGATGTCCTGGAGTGGCCGCCGTACTCTCTGGACTTAAATATAATAGAGAACGTGTGGGGATGGCTCTCGAGAAAAGTATACGAGTCTGGAAAGCAGTATAGTACAAAATTGGAGCTCATCGACGGGATTAAAGAAGCTTGGTCTTCAATATCATTACAATACGTTGAGAAATTGTACGAGTCACTTCCCAGCAGGATCTGTGAGGTCCTGGAAAATGGGGGCGGGACCACCCACTATTAATTTGATTAGAAAATAAGTAAATAATAAGATAAAACATAAAACACTACTAGTTGTTAAGCATTAAGTGAAAATTCATTAAATTTAAGCAGGGGGCGCTAATCTGATGACGCAAAATTAAATTCATATTTTTGGTATACATTTTCTTTTCAAATAAATAAAATATTATTGTTATACTTATCATTATGTACCTTATCTTATTTTGAAGAATATTATTAAAAGTATCGTCAAAAAAAGTTTTATGGCTTTAGCCTTGATAGTTTGGATAATATTGGACATTACCCGAGAATGTTCAGGGGGCGCTAATCTGATGACGCGCAGTGTATACTATATATTAAGTTGTTTGCGACGAGAAACAAGTGTGACTGAAATATAAATAAAACTCACACGAAAAAAGCGTTTACAAATCGCCGTGTTTTATTGGCCAAGTGACAACAGGCCGAAATGAAACTGGTTTATCAGGGGATCACGTGCGGCTTTGGTGATTGTTTTTTCGTATTTCCAATATGCATAATACAACGATTAAGAGTTTCCGGCTTTGTTTGCACTTAAAATAAATAGGGGGCGTGGCCAAAGAGAGACACGCCTTAACAACCTGATTATTTGAGTAATTTTCTCCTTTTTTGTCAATTTCAGTTACATTGCCGGCCGCTTCAAGATCATTAGTAATGCGGAAACCAAAGGATTGGGCACCTTTGTGGGCACTTTTGCTTTGCCCTCGCTGATCTTTCTGTCGCTGGTGGAGCTCAACTGGAATGCTGTCAACTGGAGCTTCCTTCTGGCCATGCTGGTGTCCAAGGCTGTGGTGTTTTTCTCGGTCCTGATTATCTCCCTGCTGGTGGCCCGACCTTTGAACTATGCCAGAGGAGGATTAATGGCCATATTCTGTACTCAGAGCAATGATTTTGCTATTGGTTATCCCATAGGTGAGTTAGAGAGGGGATAGAACTATACTAGACCTACTTAAAACAAGAGTCAGCAGAGATAGAGGAACCTTTGAACGTTTAAAAATAACTAATTCTTAAATTTACTTCCAGTTATGGCTCTCTACAAGGATGTCCATCCAGAATATGCTTCTTATCTGTACCTAATGGCTCCCATTTCGCTGGCCATACTAAATCCCATTGGTTTGGTGCTCATGGAGATCTCCAAGATTGTTAGGAACAAAGAGGAAGTGGTAAGTATTTGAATATAAATATTCTAATAGATTAAATATCTAATTTATAAATCCCTCTTTAGACCCGCAATCCGCCACTCTGTCCGGAAACCTGTCCCGCCGAGCAGATGGCCAAACGCAATCGCTGTCTCGGCGAGCGTTCAATTCTGGTGTTCAACACCATTGTGGCGCTGTTCTTCAATCCTCTGCTGCTTATGACCCTGCTGGGTGTAGCTGGTGGCTTCCTCTTTCCCCATGGTCTGCCCGAAATGGTGTCCAGTACTCTGCGAACCCTGGGACAGAGTTTTTCCGCCACCGCCTTGTTCCTACTGGGTCTGAAGATTGTAGGAGGAACGGGTTCAGAGCGGAAAAGCACTGGCTTCCTCTTACCCGGCGTTCTCATATTGGTTAAGATGTGAGTTTCAGGCATTCAAATTGTATTTATTTTGCAATTCAATGAGAGAGCACTTTCCCTCGACAGACTGGTGCTTCCGCTGGTCATCCGTCAGACGGTTAACATTATGCAGTCCGGCCAGAACTTCAATGACACTACAGAGTTGAGCACCTTTGGCTTTCTCTATGGCACCTTCCCAGCTGCCCCCGGGGCCTTTGTCATTGCCACACAGTACAACATGGAGGTGGAATTGGTAAGTGCGAATGGGAGTGGGAATGGGAATGGCATGAAAGTCAATCTGGTGACTCAATTAATTACATATTCCTTACCTTCGTTTGTTTAGGTTGCTCGCAGCATGGTTTTTTGCACGTTCATCTCGGCTCCATTGATGTTTATCTCAGCGAAAATGATCTCGCTGACGAATCTGAAGCCACTGGATTATCTGCACGAGCTGGATGCCTTTTCGTTTGACATTAGCGTGGCTGGAGCCGCAGCATGTTGCTGTATGTTAGCCCTGTTGATTGTGACGAAGCGATTTAGACGTATGCCACAGAGGATTACTTTTTGTCTGGTGCTGTCGCAGGTGAGAGAGATCGAGGAGTATTTCATAGTGTTTTCTTATATATCTGTCTTCTCCCTTAGCTCATGTGTTGCATAGGCGTTATACTGTGGTCCAAGATGGATCATGTCCACCGTTGGCCCTTGTACCTGCAGTTCTTCCTCTTCAACATAGGGACTTATAGCACTCGCCTGTGGACGGGTCTTTTAGCCATTTCCCTGCTCTTCCTGCAGTGTCGCAGCTTGTGTTTTGTGCTGAAATTGTGGCCCTATATGGTAAATGTTTATATTTACTCTTTTTTAAGTGGTTTCTTATATAAATATTACCTTTTCTGATTTAGTTGGTGTTTGCCTGGGGTGTGCCAGCCTTAATTTCGGGCCTTTTGGTGGCCTTCGACTCGAACGTGATGTCGGGAGAAAAGCATAATCCCAGCTTTCAGTATGGAAATGCCCAGGCAGCCATTTCGGTGTTTATGCTTGTCATGTGTTTTATAGGTAGGTGGATTTATTTTATAAATGTTTCTTTAAAAAAAATGATGAAAAACTAAATGCATTTGAAGAGTTATTTAAATACCAATGACAGACTTTTGTTGAGAGTGTTATTCGTACTCTTTCTTTGGTCTGTCAGGTCATAAAATGATGCTTGTAAAGTTTTCAATCTGATTTATTCTAAATTTCTTCAATTTTTTAAGGATTTCTTTGTGCATTTTCCTTTTATTTATACTTTATTTAATTGCAGTCACTGTGGGTTGCTTGGTGCTGCATCAGCGTTATAAGAAACGCTATGAAAAGTACATGACTTATGCACGTGAGTTGTCCAATCCGGAGTCGGGTAGGTTTAACATAGAAAATATTTATTAAATTAACTAAACATTAATCAATTCCCACAGAATCATCTGACCTGCACTCGACCATATCAACCACCAATTTGCTGAGTCAAACGGATCATGCCTCCATTCGGCAAAGTGTACGCACTACCTCTTATTCCTCCTCTTCGGACGATGATGAAATGATACCAACAGCTGCGGGATTGCCCGCAAGCAGGAATAGTGCAGGAGCAGGATCTGGAGGAAGTGCAGGCGGTGGCGGCGGCGGTTGTGGTTCGGGCAATGGCACTTGCTGCTCGGGTGGCGGTTCGGTAACCACCCCTTCAACCACCAGTACTGTGGTTGTGGACATTGAGGATCTGTTGAATCGAACACGTCAGCGGGCCAACAAGGATCTGGATAAGATAGAGGCGGCACCGCGTACAGAAGAGTGAGTAGTTCTTCGTAAACTTTGAAATTTACATATAATTAATACGATTTTTAAATATATCTCACAGAATTCGCAATCAAATGTGCAGCAGCTCCTTTAATTGTGGTCCCAGTACCTCACGCCAAAGTTGTCAGACCATAATCGAACGCTATGAGGATCAGAATCGGAGTGGTCTTGAGCCCTTGGAACATACCAGTGATACTGATGAGCATCAAACCCTCAAACATACTGTTCTTCTGATCATTCTGCTCTGCTCCATGTTTGTGGGTTTGGCTGTGTCCATTTGGACGCTCGTCATGGAGGGCATGTCGGGCATATATCTGGAATTGAGTTTCCTCGATGCCTTCCTCAACTTTGGTCAGGGTTTGATTGTGTTGGCTGTGTTTATAACCGACATGGGTGAGCTGCTAATGCCTGTGGTGAAGATTTGGCGCAAGTTGTGGTGAGTTTGGGGATTGATTTCTCTTGATATTAAATAGTTTTTTTTATATTAAATTCTGTTATTTATTAATAGGTATGGAGCCAATGTGGTCAGTCTACCCCATTGGTCGAATGTTCGTCCGGAAACCAAGCACATCTGCGAACAGTTCCGCAATCATCATTTGGAGAACTGCAAGAAGGATATTGCCAAAGACAGAAGGTGGGTTTTGGAAACTATTTTTAAGTTGTAAAAATATTTCCCTTTTAGAAGGTTATTTTTTGTTAAGTTTTTCCTTTAAAATATTCCTTTTTGCCTTAGAACTTTAAGCGGCATTAGGAATAAGCATAATTAATGATGTTTTCTTAAGTTAAGTAAGTATGTGGAATGAATTTTGTATTGATCAATTTAGTTAACAGTAGGGACGATGCAAAAAACTGATATATTATAGTATTGATACTGATATTTAAAGCGAAAGTTTATATTTAGCATTGCAATATATAACAACACGATATTCTACTAAATATATTAGACAAATATATTTCAAAAGAGAGACAAATATGTTGAAAAACATGTCGGGTTTTATATTTATTATGATCCTCCCAATATACACCATTATTTAGCAGCTTTTTTTAGATTATTTAAGCACCTCTGTCGCTTTTACAGCATATCCACATTAAGCTTGATATAGTCTTAGGTTTTATTATAACTAAAACATATACTAAAATATCTATATATATATTTTCAGGTGGCGCATCCGTGTGTATCGCAAGGTATTCTATGGCAGCGAGTTCGTCAGCTGGTTGATCGAGGTGGGCCTGTCCAAGGATCGCATGGAGGCTGTGCATTATGCCCGACACTTGGTCGATGGACGAGTGCTGCGGCACATCAACAACGTGTATCATTTCGAGGATAAACTGCTGCTATACAATTTCTGCAGTCGCATCTAGAGAGGCAGCCAACAAAGATGAAGCAACTACGCCAAATTTAGTTTCAATCGATTTCCTGTTTAGTTTATCCATGTACTATATCTCTTTGTATGTAATTTTTTTGACTGCTGTGATTGTTCGCCAAACAAGCACACACACATTACAGCCAAAATGTGTGTGTATGAGCGAGTGTGTGGGAGTGATGAGGAGGATGAGCTAGTGAATTTTTGTTTATAATATTGTCCAAGTAATTCGCTTGGTTTATTTTTTTAAATGTTTATTACTAAGAGTAGTTGACTCAGCTAACAGCTTGAGCTTTTATATATAGTGCAATATATATATAGAAATAGAAATACTGAAAGAAAGTTTCCTAAATATGCTAAACGAAAATTCTGTGTCACAATTTAAAAAATAAAATGAAAAAAGAGAAAACTGTGCATAAAACGCTATAAACGAATATAACTAAATATGTATACAGAACACTTAGGATAGTAAACATCCATATATAAATAAATATATATATACACAAGCTTATATACCTCAGAACAGAAACATTAACCATGCATTTGTGTCGTTTGTTTCGATTTCAGTCTTAATTTGCATTTGTTATTCTTTCATCCACAGCGAATCTTTCTACTTTTTCACCCTTTGGACTTCCACGCGTCGCGGCATTCGATGTTCTGCGTGTTTGAAATAATAATACCCCTTAATTTCGGACACCCGGCAAAAACTCTACTATTAATTGTTCTGACGCCTTTTAATATTCTGTTAACGATGCGTATATGTAGATATTTATTTTGTTTTTGGTATGCGCCTGTCTCCCATAAAAACATTCTCGGAGTCCTGAGTTTTAAGATTCATTCAATTGAAGTTCTTGTTTGTTGGTTTGTTTGTTATGCAAAATTCAAGGCGTTGCAAAATGCACTTACTGTCATTCGACACACTGTCAACAAAAAGTCTGGGTTCAAGGCAAGTATCCCATTGAATTGCATGTTTAATAACTTAAGCTGTAGCTTAAGTTCCTGCTGTTCTAATGGCCCATTAATTCGTGGGAAATATCAGGGACAGTCTGCAACTATTGACCCAATATAGTCACAAGGTCTGTAATTCCATTTCCCAAACGACCCTGAGTTCTAATTTTATATATTTATCAACTGCAGAGTGCAGAATGTGAGTCAGTGAGAAGCTAGACCTAGATAATGCATTAGATATTGAGGCGAAATTGGGCGATACTCTTTAAATATAAAATAAAACCTAATAATACCTAGAAATCGAAATTATTGGTTATTGGTACTTCATTTAAATTGCTATTACTGATTACTTATTTTAATTTAATTGTTAAAAACAAGTGATGTCTATAGTAAATTTTATACCCTTGCAGAGTATTCAAATTTTAGTCAGAAGACTGCAAATCACTGAAGGAATCATTTCCGACCCTATAAATCATATATATTCTTGATCAGCATTGAAAGCCTAATCGATCTAGCTATGTCTGGAAGAAAAATAATTTTTTGAAATTTTTTCAACATTTTTATTTTTAAAATTGTGAAAAAAGTTAACAAAAATTGAATTTTTTTAAATTTTAAGCTAAGTATGCAGATTTATCGGCCCTTTAGAAACTAGCACAGCAAAGCTTTCCGAATTGAAATTAATGCTTTTTGGATTAGTTATGTTTTTTTAACTTTGATATTTTCACAAAATTAGTTGATTTTTAATTAGAACAGATTGTTAATTCTAATTACAGTAAGCAGCTTGAAAATCAGTGAAGAAATCATTTCCGACCCTATAAATCATATATATTCTTGATCAGCATTGAAAGCCGAATAGATCTAGCTATGTCTGAAAGAAAAAATTTTTTGGAAATTTTTTAACATTTTTTGTTTTTAAAATTGTGACAAAAAATTTTCACAAAAAATTGAACTTTTTAAACTTTAAAACTTAGTAAGCAGATTTTTTAACCTAATAAAAACTAGCACAGAGCAAGTGTCCGAATTGAAATTAATGCATTTTTGGCTTATGATTGATCGAAATTGCCTGGGTATTACTTTGGCCCTCCGTAGTTAACTTCCTTTTTTGTTTAATAATAATTTTCATTTATTTTGTTCAAATTTGTTTGGCTAAATAAGCCCAGTTAATTGCAGATTAATTAATAATGAAATATGATTAAAGATATAAAAGCTTCCTTCTTTATTTCAGCAATGTCTTAGTCTGCTTTGATTTAAAATCAAGTTTAAATTCATTTCTTAAATTAAAAAAAAAATAAAATATATAATTTCCTAATGACCCCTTTTAAAGTGTATAAATATATAAAATTTTTTATATGCACACTTACAAGAAATAAAAAAAGAATTACTTGCTTTCACACATTTATCTTTATTGACACCTTAAACACGATAGTGCAGTTCCGGGGCTTATCAAGATACTAAGGTAGGGTAGATACATACATACATAGAAGCTGATTTGTCAGATTGAAAACAGAACACCCTACACTCCATGGGTTGGATATTAGGAAATAACAAAATATACATTGCATTTGCAAACTCTGTCATGACCTCATGCTCTCACTCAGAATCCTGGCCCCATTAATCAGCCGCTTTATGTCTGGCCAAGTGCGGCGTTAATATTACTGCAAATAGTGCGTTATTATTTATTCATTTAATTTTGCAGACAGTATTGTACAAAAGACGAAATCTCCTGGGGGAAAAAGTCAGAGGTCAGTCAACCCTAGAGTTGCCCAAAAAAATAAAAATAAGGGAAAAGTAACATTTTTATTTGTCGCTTCCTTCGTCATATACCCCACGCAGTGGAAGGACGAAGAAATATATGGGCTGCTGTCAACGTTGCTTTTGGGGCATCCAATTTCAGGCCAACACAATTAATAGACACCAAAAACAATTTTTGTTAAGGAATAACAAGGATTTGGAGAGGGAAATAGAGGTGAACCAGAACCAGATACAACAATTGGAAGATATATAAAATATATATGCCGAATAAATATTATTACAAATATTTAGGTTACCAATTCGTTTTACGAAATATTATTATTATCGTTTTACGAAATATAAATATTTTTAAAGGGTACAATAATGTTTATTTATTTATTTTATTTTAAATGTTTCAATTTTTCCTTTAGGAAACTCTTTAAAATAATTATTTTAAAAATAATCAATGAATTAACACCATAAATTGTCTTGAATAATTATAGTATTTATCATTCATATATCATCAATCAATATATCAATATATCATATATCTAACATTTACATCAAATCATATAATTATACGAATTAAAACTAAAGTATACAAAACTCAAGAAAATATTCTTATAAAATCATCAACATTTTAAATAAATAAGAAAGTTTTAAAAACTCGCATTGATCCTTGCCTAAAATCCGTATATAAAAATTACCCAACGATCCTTAAAAAGGACAACTTGACAGCACTCCTCGAAAAGGGACACCCACATTTCTGATGGAAACATTCCACATTTCATTTTGTGCTTATTTGTTGCCTTTCGGCTAAATTAACTAAAAATAGTCTCAACCGCATGACGTCTAAGAGAGCCTTCGGGATGAAGTGTGGTTTGGGTTTGGTCCTGGGATGATGAGATATTTTATCCTCAATTTCGCACCAACAAGGACGACGTCAGCCAGCGCCTAGCCACAGGCTCGTTAATTCTATCCCAGCTGTAGATGTAGCATTTAATTTCAAGTTCCTCATACGCCCCGTTGTCGCCACAACAAAGACCGCCCCCGAAAATGGATCGCCGCCGTATTGTCGATAGCCGGCTTCCGTTTTATTTTTCGCCGAATCAATAATTTCCCATTTAAAATGCAAGTATGCGAGGCTTTCATCTTTCGCATTGCAAATCTACTTAATTAATTTCTCAGTTATTTTACAATATACTTTTTAAACGAATCATTAATATGATTTTCTCTTCTATAATTTCTTTTATTTTTTTGTTTTTCTTTTGAAGAATTGGCTTTGGAATTGTTTATTGAAATTACTATTCGGTAACCAGCCGACAAATAACGAAAAGAAAAAAATTTCAATTGTTAATTTTGGCTAGAATGCCGAAAGCTCAATGAAAAGGTATTGCGAAAGAAAAGCAAGTATTAAGAATATAGAAATGCTCTTTCTTTTTTTATATTATTGAAAAATGCGGAATTTTATATATTAAATATGTTTTATTTTAATATTTATAAACTTTTTAAAGAAGCTTTCCTTTAAAATATTTATGCAGTTTTGGTACAATGACAATAAAATGAATTTTTCAAAACTAATTTAAAAAAAACTGAAAGATTTTATACGGTTTTTAAATAAATAATTTTAAAAACATTTGATAAAATTGTATACGGTTTTTAAATAAATAATTTTATAAAAATTTGATTGTAAGAATTTCCTAAAATATAAAATATATCATTTACTTACTTACTTAATTACTAAATTCTTTGTTCTGAAAACAAGACATATTTCATCGATCTTAGAATGATTCATGGGATACGGCTATATTTTATATTCCGGGTTAAACCGTTAATTACAATCCCATCTATGTTATGTAAATATATATATGTGTATAATAATATAATAAAAAATTATTTTAAATAAATAATAAATAATGAGGTAAGAAGGCTTTCGTAATCTTAGTAATCCCCACTAACCTTTAAATATTATTATGAAGGAAATATAATTATTTCTATTAACTTTATAAGTTAAATAAAGATTGAATAATAGTTTTCTTGTCATTCCACTTTCTTAAATATTTTTAAAATGTTTGCTTTGATTTCAATATTTTTTAAAGGTACTAGAAATGATTATTTTCTTAATTATTTAAAATGTGGTTTATTATTTGTATTCCCCAACATTTTTAAGAGTATAAAAACAATAAAATTTGTCTTGCTATGCCGAATGCTCGGACACACGTTCACCGGCACTGGCACGAGCTATGCATTTTCGATGGGGTGGTGGCTCACGGTGGTGCTTGTGCCCGGAACAGGGGTGTATATATATATATATATATCATATATTGTTATATATGTATATATATTCGCTATATCCGACCACCAACAGCGAAGAAGCAGCCGAAGCCGCACGCACGAGCCGCTGCCTTCCAATCCCAGAGCCGAGCACGAGTGGCCAACTGTTGAGCGTCGGCCAAGGAGCACCACCACCCCCATTTCTATATAGGAGCTTATATAGCTTGGAGCAGAGGCAGTAGCAGCAGCAGCAGCAGCAGCAGCAGCAACAGCAACAGCAACAGCAGCAACAGCAGCAGCAGCAGCAACGTTGAACTAGCAACACTCATTCTAAATCGACGCCTTGCTGACTGCAGACGGGCTCCTCGCACTCGAATCGTATCCATATATATCGCATCGGTCGGTTAATCCCAATATCGAACACCGCTCTAATCATTAATTAAGTGTCTTAGTGTCTTGAGGAAAATCGTTATAGTATATGCAACCGATTTGGTTATCGAAACTAGTTTCCAGCTGCCAGTCAATATGTGGTCTCTGCAGCAGGCTCATTTCTGAAAGAGAGATACAAAAATAATAAACTAAAAACTAGAGATACATTTTCACCTGCAGTCAAGTGTAATTAACATGGAGGCATCAACCACACCTGTGCTGGATCTGCTGCTGAGGCCACAGAATGGCACATCCTCCACTGTCACCAAGGCACTCTATGCGAATCGGAATCGTTTGATCTTCAGCACCATTGTCATGGGTCTGGGGGTATTCGGAAACTCACTGGCTCTGATTATTTTGGCGCGCAAAAAGCACAACAAGAATAGCAAATATACACTCATGTTGCGGTAAGTCCAACTATACAGCGAAAAAAAAAATAATTAAAAAGCATAAAAAACAGCAAACTTAATTAAGATTTTCATTAGCACACAGATTATAGGGTTATGACACTGATTTGTAAGGTAATTAAGTATGACCAAACTAAGCAAACAGTTAAGAAGAGACAACTAACTTTTTTGAGATTCCTAGAAAGCCAAGAAATTGGGTTTATGATACTGTATTATAAGAATTTTGAAAGTGTAATCAAGTTGAGAAAGAAGCTAAGAAGAAAAAACTTTAATCATTTAATGCAAAAATTGAGTTTAATTTCTCTATATTTTCTAGCCTATAAAAATTCTTGTTTCATAATTTAAAATTTAATTTTCTCCTTTTAATTTCTTGCTAAATCAACAAATATCCAAAATCCATTCATCATTATTAACACTATCCAATAAACAAGTTTATTTTCTGATTTAAGAATTGCTTCACAAAGAAAATAAGGCAATGTGCCAATATATAATTATTATATACAGTCAGTTACTAAGATAACTTATAAATTTAAAGTAAATATTTAAGCTCTAAAGCTAACCAAAAAAAATCAGTAATAATTGAGAAGGATAAGTTTAGAACACATAACTTGTTTATTCAATTATTTGTATAATAAAAAGTAAAGCAAATTGTATAATTTTCTATTTATTTTATTCAACAAAATATCGGTAAATTATATACAAGAAGTATTTAAAAAAAGGCTGACTTAACAAAATAATTCATAATTTTATAGATCAAATGAATTTGGGTTTTAAATTCTTTGAATAAGAAAGTCTTGTAATCTTTATTAATCAGAGTTTTCTATTTTTTCAAGTTGTATTATTATTTGTTCCCATATTTTTTTCTTAGTGTAAAACTAGCTCATTTTATGCACTTAATGTTTGTGACTGTTTGCGGCCAGTTCATGGCTATGTAAGTTTGTTCAACTCCCCACAGTGGCCAGTCTATAGAGTTCGATTGATTATTTATATTCCTATGCGGGCCGCGATTTGCATAGTTTGAATTGTTTTGTTTCGGTTTTCTTTTGCGTATCTTATCAGTGTTGAACTAATTTAATTTACTATTGGTTTCCATGTGCTTTAACCGAAAGATTTTGGCCATATTTGCGTCTGTTTTGGCCAGTCTTATCGTTAGTGAGGGAATGCAACGAATGTGAGTGCATTAAAAGCTTAACTGTGTAACACAAGACAGGAGATTAGAGCTTGAAAAAAAGTATTAAATGTATATTTTGATGGGGAATTACATTCACAATTTGGAAAGGCAGTTGTTAGTTTTTATATAGATATGAATAAATAATACATTAGCTTATATTAACGCTGAAACACATAACTTTAATAATATTTTTTGCAACTCTCATTGATTTTCTGCTAAATCAAATCCATTTTATGTATTCCCAAGTATTTCCCCCGAATATTTATCACAATTTATTTCCAATTTATCAGCATATAACCCCCATAAGGCCGTTTCAGTGAACATAATTCCAATTTGTTCCTTTTATTATTTTTGCTGAGACACCACTGCGTATGCGTAATATGCGTAAATTGCCATCGACAGCAAAAAATGTCGAGCCATCAAGGGAGTCAGAAAGAAATTAAACCAAATGCCACTCGAAACGTGATGCCTCCTTTTGGCACTCAAGAGAGAAGGAGAGCATTGAGCCCTTTGATCTGTAATTTGATTGATTGAACGAGCCCGGTGATTGGCGCTCAATAAATCAGGGCAAGTAACCCAATGGCATCACACCCGCTTTCCAGGAACCGGAATGGAAATGGCAATATATGAATTTCCCTGCTCACATCAACCAAAAAAACAAACAATGATTTTAGCTTTTGGAAGTACATGAGCGTACAACAAGTCAACAACAATTTTTAGAAAAGTCAATTCATGCGGTATAATGAACAGTTTTGGTTTAGCTTTTCGTTTACAATGTGCACCATAAACTGAAATTTTAATAGTTTTCGCATCAGCAACAAGTGCAAAGGTATATACACCGGGAAACCCCCTTCCATCATAGAGATTATCCCCCACCTCATAGTGCCGCCTATCCCATTTTATTTTTATTCCAGGCAGGCGGGCGCATTTCTATTTTATTTATTTTTCCATTACGAGAAAGACATATATATTCACATCTCTCTGTTGGATGAGACAAATGAGTTTCCTGTGTCAACTGCGCCCTAAAAAAAAAAAATAGAAAACAATCAGAGCTAGACAAACATTTCACCCTCGAAAGGAATTTTTTATGATACCAATAAAAAGAAAATACTTAATCAAACTCACTATTGACAGAGGTCTATATATCTCGAGGTGTCAAGGGGAAATGGCGCCTAGTATTTTGGGTATATTCAGGTTTAGTTTATGTGACTTAATTAATTATAGATTAATTAAAGGAAATATAATAAAATCGTTTTAAAATACTTCATAAAGGAAGGCAAACTTAGATTAATAAATATATAAATAATTTTGATTATCTTTAAAGAATATAAATAACTATTAAAAATATTCCACATTCATTTAAATTTAAATTAAAATTTATCTATATTTATTCTCCACTCGAATTGCATTTTAACTCATAACTATAAATGAATAAAAATTAATAATTTAATTAAGAATATAATATAATAAGAATAAGGCATAGCTCATTTTCAAAACACTTTATTTTTAAACAAAAGATATTTGTAATGGCTTTTTCATTTATTATAAGAATTATACATTTAACTTTTTGACGGCAAATCAATTGAAATTGTTTAATGTTCCGATCACGTCTCGAGTGGCCCAAAATGGTTTGTTGTTTCAACCATATGGGGACAGCTTTTTGAGCTATACTCGCGTATAATTAAAAGTTCCGCCTTATCAAAGTGCCAATTAATTGCAAACCGAAATGTTATTACAAACTTTACTATACTTTATATATAAATTAAAGAGCCAAGAATGTTGGCTGGGCGTTAATGGAGTGTACGATTTTTATTATCCCATTTACGAAGCCCCAAAATGAAATAAAGCTTAAGCCATCCTGAATTTATGGGCGTACTCCGGTCCGTTGCCTGTCTAATTTCCACCCACTCTTTTTTCTAGATGCCTGGCCACCAATAATCTGTTGGCTCTGCTGGGAATGCTGACCACATCGGTGCTAAAGTACAATCTCTCCGAGGAGGTCCATCAGTCCTTTATGCGCCTGGACTGTGTGGGTCATGTGGTGTGGCGGTTCTTTGGCCTCAGTTCCGGTTGTATAGCGGCTGTAATGGCTGCCGAAAGGTGGATGGCCCTGGCAAGGCCCTTTATATACCACAAGGTAAAAAAAAATATAAATTGAAAACCTTTTGAGGGTCATTAGATCGAGAAACACAGCCCTTACAATTGGGGATGAAAAAGAAATTTCTGTGAATTTGAAATCAATTTTAAGGGTTTCTAATAAAATTCTATAAAATGTAGTAAAAAAATAAGAAAGTAAAAAATCAACAGTTGAAAATGTTTAACTTGAAATGATTAAATTCCCAATTTAAATTGGCTTCTTATACAAAAATAATAAAAACATAATTATAATTTAATAAACTGTTCAAGAAAATGTTGCTAGAAACATGTTGAGCAACATTCTTTGTTGCTGTCAACACAACGATGTTTTACAGGATCAGTATTCCCAGCTATTAATATTCCCTTACAGGGAATTATAATTTCAGTCAGAAGCTTATAACTTAGTGAAGAAATCATTTCCGACCCTATATATCATATATATTCTTGATCAGCATAAACAGGCGAATCGATCGAGCCATGTTTGGTGGGAAAACAAATTTATAAAATTTTTTTAATATTTTTAAGGGCTTAATTCATTAAAATAGCCCAAAAAATAAAAAATAAATTTTAGGTTTTTAAATTTGTTTATTTAATATGCAGACTTTTTTTCCTATTAAAAACTAGCACAAAACAGCTTTCCAAATTGAAATTAATAAATTTTTGGCGTAGTTATGATATTTTTAAAATCGGATTTGTCAAAAAAATGGTCATATAAATATATATACTAAATAATGGTATTATAACTTAATTCAGAAGCTCGAAACTCTGTCAAGGAATCATTTCCGACCCTATAAGTCATATATTCTTGATCAGCAAAAAAATTCGAATCGATCTAGCCATGTTTGGTTGAAAACAAAAATTATCAAATTTTGCAGAATTTTTTAAGGGGTTACATCGTTAAAATTGCCAAAAATTATGAAAAAAGCTTAAGGTCTTTAAATTATTTAATTTAATATGCAGACTTTTCCCCCTAATAAAAACTAGCACAGAACAGCTTTCCGAATTGAAATTAATCAATTTTTGGAGTAGTTATGATCAATTGAAATTTCTAGAGACCACCCTGAATTAACTGTTAGGGTGGGTATATATTAATATATTATAAATAATATATAATACACAACAAATAACAACTTGTTTGTTGTGGTTATTATAATTCAAGGCATTTTAATTTACTTTATAATTATATATTTTTGTTAGTACTTATATAATTTCTAAACAAAGGTTGTCTTTTATATATTTTTCTTAGCACATCACCTACGAGCTGATACGCAAAAGCATCAATAGCATATTGATTGCGGCTGTGATCATCACATTTCTGCCATTTGTTGGCTTTGGAGCTTACATCGACGAATCCAATCCGGAGCAGCTGAAGTGCATACGTTATAGGGATGCCCAGGGTACATGGAACAAGTCCTACGCAGTGCTCTTTATGATCTTTGGTAATAAGGAACCATTGACCTGTGTCCTTTTTCAACTCATCTTATATATCCCTTCACTAGGCACCCTTCTCTGCGTCGTGATTGTGGCCTGTAATCTCTTTGTGGCCCATACTTTGCTCTGTGTGATTGGCAAGAGTCGCACGGCCAAGCGGCACATGACCTACGATCTGGTGTCCAGGGATAAATCCAGTGTTCAGATCGATCCAGAGAGTAGTAGCGCCACCACCCTCTACCAGACGCAGCTCAGTTCTGGCAGTGGAGGAAGTGGTAGCCATCGTGGTGCTCAACCTGGTAGACATTATCGGCAAAGTGTTAGCGTGACTATGGCAGCCACAGAATCCTCACCGGTGGAGATTAAGTTTGCCAAGTTGATGGCCTTCCTCAGCATCTCCTTTGTCATCTGTTGGATGCCACAAATGGTTAGTGAGAAAGAAATTAATACATGTACTTAAAAACTTACCTGAATAATCCTTCTAGATCGCTATTCCCTTGGCCATTGCCCCGAATCGGGTGCCTTCTTCGAATCGTTTCTTCCTCATTGCCGATGTCCTGACGGCCTTGCACTTCACCTCGGATCCATATGTCTATGTTTTGAGTCGCTCCAAGTCCATTAACTGGTCCCTGCTGGGCTGCATCAAGCGTTGGCGTAGTGGCTGGCGACCCGGTGGACTCCGTCGCTCCCAGAGCGATCAGAGCCGCATGCGCACCACCATGACGGAGGCCAATACTCTGGACTTTAACTGAGAGTCCCCGTTCCGCTCGATCCTCATGCTAATGCACCCAAGTACTTAACCGCAGGGCGGAATCTATCTCGACGGGGGGAGAGGGATACAAGCGCCTCCTAGTCTCGTAAGCTGTATATAATATAACCTACATTGTATTACCATATCAAGCTTTCCCCACATGCTCAGCTCACATAATCTCAGAATCCAAGTGGCGATTTCTAGCATTAAATATATAAATATCTAAATGTTTCTGTATGTAAAATAAAATGTGTATGGAGTTTTCTTTTTGGATTTTTTAAGGGGAAGAATAAAAAAAATCCCTTTTAAGTTAATTTAATATACATTTAAGTTTAAAAAGGTTTTTGATTTCAAAAATAATATACCCTATAGGCTTAAAAGTTTTTGATTTATCCAGAAAAGAAAACATCTAATCCCTTTCAATATAATCCGCTTAACTATATACTCAACTTTAGTCATGGGTTTAAAAAATATTCTTAAAAATCCTATTCTTAATCTAATAAGGTTTGGAAAACCTTTCCAAATCAATCCCTTATTGTTTTATATATTCAACTTTAAAGGAAGTTTTTGATTTCAAAATGTGATATTCTACAGATCAAGTCTTTTGTTATTTACTTATTTCAAACAAACAATTTAAAATTCTTTCGAATATCATTCCCTGAACCCAGATGAGTACACATATCCATCACATTTGTTTTACAACTACGTTTTGTTTCATTGTTTATTTGTAAGTTTATATGATTACATAAGTTGAATGGTTGGTTGGTTGGTGTGTCCGTGGTATGCAATGCTGGGAGGGGAGCTTGGAACTGGAATTGGTTTTTGGAATTGTGGATTGTGCTCAGTTTGTTTGGCATGGAAATCAATTCAATCAAGTTGTTTGTGTTGTGTTGCGTTGTCTCCTCCCTGGTCACAATATCAGTGTCCAGTATCAAGAAGCTTGTCTTGGATTACAATGTATTCAACTGTCTCATCTCTGGACGATGATTGCGTAAAGTTTCATTCGATTTCTTGTTTGTTTTTCATTTATGCAAATCAGGGATGCAAATGTCAGATTGTGGACAGAGAACGATTGGGTTGATCGACCATCTCCGTCTTCCTGGGCATGTGTCGTGTATGTGTTCATGTATGTATTTTGTTTTATATGTTGCGTAGAATTTTAGTGTTATTTTATGTTTAAATTACGTTGTTATGACGCCGTGTCCGGCGGCATCGAATCTAAATTAGTAGCGATTGTAGCGACCACGTGCGCGTTGACGTTGCGGCGTAGCCTTCGGTCCGGCGGCGGCTCGGGCGGGTGTTGCCTTCTTGGCCGGCGAAGGGGAAACATCGGAAGTGGGCGTCGAAGCAGGAGGAGCGGCAGCGGCAGCGGCTGGAGTAGCTGCAGCAGCTGCAGCTGCAGCCTTGGTCGGAGTCTTGGGCACTGCAGCTGGCTTGGCAGCGGGAGTTGGCTCTGGGGCTGGCTCCGGTTCGGCTTCAGCTTCAGCTTCAGCCTCCTGTTCCTCATCTTCCTGGGCCTCCATCTCCTCCTCGCCATTGTCCTGGTTAACATCCTCTTCACCCTCACCTTCAGCCTCCTCGTCACCGGCAGCCTCTCCATCGGCATTATCCTCGGTCATCTCGACGTCATCATCGTCGCCGGTAGCCTCCGAGGGATCGTACAGCTCACCCTCAGCTCCCTCGGTGGTCTCCTCCTCGGCAGCTGTGGCATCGGCGGACGGGGTCTCTGTCTCCTCAATCTTGCGCTTCTTGCGCTCATTCTCCTCGATGGCGGCGGCAGCGCGCTTCTGGGCGATCTTGGTGTCGCTCGACTTCTCGTTGATGAACTTCAAGAAGTTGCGGTGATGGGTGGCCGTGCGAGTATGAATCTCGGCAGTGACCTCGGTGTCAAAGAACTTGCTGCACACCGAGCACTCGTAGCACTCCAGCTTGGAGACCAGGCCAGGACCGACAGCGCGCTGCCAGTTGTACTTGGGCAGGCGGGTATCCACCTCGCTGGGGATCTCGTCGCCATCGGTAAAGTCAAGGATACAATCCTCGGGATCCACGGGCAGGGCCACCTCCTCCTCCTCTTGGCCATCCTCCTCGCCCTCCTTGGTCTCGTCGGCGTTCTCCTCACCCTCCTTGGTTTCATCGCCTTCGCCTTCCTCGCCCTCGGCAGCTTCACCATCGGCGCCACCCTCCTTCTTAACGCTAGTGTCGGCATCGGCACCAGCCTCGCCCTCCTTCTTCACCGGCTTCTTCTTGCGCTTCTGGGGCAGGCGGAGATCACGGGTCTCCTCCTCCTCGGTACTGATCGGCAGAGTCTGGCGCTTGCGCTCTCCAACCTTGGTGTTGCTCTCAGCGGCCTTCTTCAGATGCTCGGCGGACAACAAATGAGTATCGTAGTCGATACGAGTGGCGAACTCCTTGTTGCACTCAATGCACTTGGGGTGCAAGAACTTCTTCAGCTGCAAGTGACCCTCCGACTTGCGATGGGTCGAGATGTGGCCATGGAAGTTGAGATCGCACATGGTGCAGTAGTCCAGCTGACGCTGCTTGCTCTTGCCCATACGCTTGAGGCGATCAAACTCAATGGACTTGAGCTGCTCGGCTATCTTGGCCTCCTGACGGATCATGTTGGCCTTCAGGCGGTAGCTCTCCTCGATACCCTCGCGCATCATCAGATGGGTGCGACCCTTGATGTGGTTCTCGAACGAGTTGGCGTCCCACATGTGCTTCTTGCACAGATGACAGTAGAACATGTCGTTCGGCACACTAGCGTACGGAGACTCCTTGGTGGGGCTATTAATATCGATCATTAATGGGAAATGGAATAAAGAAAAGAGTTTCATTAGTCAGAGATCTTAAAATGGCAGCGGAAAAAAGAGTTGCGTCTGGACTCTGGCTCTATGGAAAATAATACAAGATTAGAGGGGGGAAAAAGAGAGTTGTTCGCTTTGCGATTTATATTTATAATACGTCAGTACAGGTGAGTATAGTAAATCAATTATTATTTAGCTATGATGATGCGTTATGTTTAATGTGAATGATTTGCGATGGAGAAATATGCTGTAAATCATATCTAAAGTCTGAAATGATCCATCCCATAGGGTTTTTTATTAATCTTAACTTATAAGTCAAGGTAAAATCCTGACCAAAACTGAACTCCAGAATAGATTCTGTTTACAAATCTTGATTTTATATAATCCATCACATCAGGTTTTTAGTTTTCATCTTAAAAGATTAACAGAACTGTGAAAACGAACTTCAAATTATTATTATTTATATAATTATTAATACATTTACAGCATATTTCTTATTTAAAAGGACTCTTAAATATATATGATCAAAACATTATAAATAAATTAATTAAATGGAACATGAATGGGATGACATTTTTATTAAAAAGGAAAGATTAAATTAAATTACCTTTAATTATATATAATTATTATTTTATATAAAAAGACTGTGAAGTCCAATCGATTATCCCCTTTTTAACTTCAAAGACTTACAAATTAATTTTTAAAGGCACACAAAACGCAAAAATGAAGCCCATTCTTCAATTTAAAACGTGATTTTGTAAAAAGATTTAAATATGATAATGAATGTTAAATTAAAAAAAATTAAATTAAAGCTTTTGAAAGTTGGAAACACATTAATATATTAAAAAATATATTCCCCTCTTGCTTCGAGGCGTGGAACAGCCTAAAAACACACACTAACATAAGTAGCATCGAGGAAAAAAAGTAGAAAATATCCCTAAAGAATAACTAATGCTAATTAAATATATGAGGAGACGCAATTAGAGAAATTTCAATTCCTAAGTACTTAAGTAAAACGTTTTAAATTAAATATATATATATATTATCGCTGCTGAAATTTGTTAAATTTTTGTATGTTTTTTTGGTGAAAGAAATTAATCTTTCGATTTGTTGTTTGGGGCAGCAAAAAATGTATTCTATTTCTTAATTTGTGGTTTTGTTTTTTGTTTTTGTTTTTGTTTCGGAAAAATTGTTGTAGTAAGTCTTACCTCTCGATTTTCTTTTCGCCAGGAGTAGGTTCCTTCTTTTTATTTTGGTTGGCATTTTTAGCCAAAAGTTTCTTGGCACGATCAAAAGCATTTTGCTTGCGAATACCGCCGCCGCCCTGCTTTTGCGGGGGCTTGGGACCACCAGCACCACCAGTGGCGCCACGATTTTGGAAGCCTCCCTGGCCACGACGGTTATTGAGACGATTGCCGGCACCGCCACCGCGACTGACCATCTAATATTTTTTGTTACATACATAGTTATAGTGCCACGAGACAAGAGAAATGCAGCAATTGAATTGAATTTTGGTTTCGAGTTCGAGTTTAACAAGCAAAATTTCACATCAGGACATTATTTTCGAAATATCAGAGACAAATATGGCGCGCACACATTTTTTTTGGGGGCCATTTACAATGTTTTGTGAGAGACGAGAGATCAAATTGAACAGAGATATTATAAACGGTTTTGATAAAAGGAAATCATTACACATTGGTAAAATATCATAAAATGTATACAAAAATTTGGCATTTATAGCACAGGTTTATGAGCATTTTCATTTGGTCAGTTCGGCGGGGCAGTAACGACGGCCAATCAGTCGACGGGGAAATAGTTGGATGATATATATAGAGATAGCATATATATATTTCATGCGGTTCCAGTCGTTGGCATTGTGGCGGCGCGTGGCATATTATATATTTTGCATTACATATATATAATTATATATTGGTGATTTGATTCATTTGAAAATGGAAATCAGAGGCAGGAACGGAACGTCGAAGAAGAAATTGGCGATGTAGACATTAAGACAATATTAAATGGATATTATTTTGTATATAAATTCGTTTTCGTTTTAGATGTTGCACCATCATTAAGCAGTGTACCAGTACCAGATCGGATTCAGTTTTTTCGGTTTTCAGAGCAGAGCAGATTTGACAATTGCCACAAACGAGTGCAATCAATAACAATCGAGCATTCGAGGAATCGAGCAATAGAGCAATCAATCAGTGGCGCCGCACGGGAATCAATCATCATAGATCATCGCATCGTTTTCGGTCGAGATTTCGCATATACATATTTGATATTTTGATTTGTTTTGATTTGATTTTTGGCATATTATTCGTGAATCGCATGTTGTGTGTGTGCGCGTTGCATTTTTCAATTTTATTTTGGATTTTCGAAAATGTGCATATATTGTTGGCCGTTGAAATTGAATTGATTATTTTTGTGGGGTTTATATTTCGTTGAGGAGAGAGGCGGGGCATCAACGGCCGCAACAACAACACGCAACAGCAACGGCAACAGCAACAACAACAGCAATTATGTACAACAATATGGGAATTGTTGCATTCGAAATATGCGAATGACGGACGATGCAGTTTTTCGATTTATAACATTGTATTTGTATTGGAAAAGCATCGAATTTTTGAGTTTTGCGTTTTTTTGGTTTTGGAAGAGAGAATAAAAATAGATAATGGATAAATTAGAAAAGCGCTGTGAAAGTACGAGGTCCAGCCAAGAGAAGGTTTTGGTGGAATTTCGTGGAATAGTAAAAATGGTTGGTAATTATTAAATGCTTAAGTACATCTAGTAAATAAATTACTTATGATTCAATCTTGATATATAGAGATCAATCATCATTATAATTATCAATCAATCATCATACTCTTTTCATCGTTAAGTGGAACAAGTGTTGGCGGTACATGTTTTAATAGGCACAATTTATCGTTATCAATGCTTTGTTTCGTGTGTATATATATATATAAATATATATATTAATCTTTCGTTTCGATTGTGCAGTTTCTACAGAACTAAAAACAAAAGTTGTTGCATTTTAAATGGAATAAATGCGTTTTTATATGGAAAACCTTTACATCCTTTTTAACCTTACACACAAACACTGCACAATACTCATTACTTCTTTCTTTCAAACAATATCAAACAAACAAAAAAAAGTGTTGCTAATTTGGTTAAATTTTCACTTTTCTATTCGTTGGCTTTTTTAGTAAATAAACTACAAGCTACGGCTTAGTTTTGGTTCTGTTTTTATCTCTTAAAGGAAAAGCATTAGCTACAAGTTTGGCAATATAACAAAACTAATCAATGTTAAAATGTAACAAACGCAAGAGTAGTTGGTTCTTCGGTGGAGTGCAAGGGGTTATTTTTCATTATTTAGAGAAATTATTATCTTTTTACACAAAGTCAAACTGTTAGCAAAGAAACTTCCTCAAATCGGACAATTTATATATATGGAAGTTGCGCATCTTTGAGATTTTTGCTTCTTCGGATCATAACATAAATAAAAATCAAACTGTACAGTTTTCTTTATCAGACATGTACCTTAACTTAACTACTAAATACTTCCTATCTTTTAACGAGATAATTTACAAATCTAAATCTCTTATCCTTTTTGCAACTCCACTTTAGAACATCGATTCGTAATCCAAACGAACCTCTAGAAAATACTAATAATTAAATTAACAAAGGGATATACAACAGTAAATTTCTGTTGACATTTTCAACTTAATATAGACATTGTTTTACAGATTTGTACATACCGGGCCACCGCGCTGATTACGATTTCCCATGCCGCCGCCGCCGCCGCCGCGAGGCAAGTCGAGGAGCGATGGTGGATTCTGGTTACGGAACAAATTGTTGAGCAGATTGTTGGCCAAGTTGATGGCCTGGGCATTCATCTGGCCGCCACCCTGGCGCATGTTGTTGCCGAATTGGCCGCCACCGCCGGGGTTCTGGGACTCCCACGGCGACATGTTCATGCCGCCCATGCGATTGGCGCCCATGGGCCCTCCATAGTTGTTGTTTCCGCCGCCAAAGTTGCGATTACGGTTCTGGTTACCACGGAAAGCCATATTATTGCCGTTAACGTTAGCTGGACGATTCTGCTGAGGGTTTTTGATGATCTTGACGCTGTAAAGGGGAAGTAATAAACAATTAATTATATAACTCTTTTGGAAAATTATTTAAACCAAATTATTAGTTTGGGTATATGCAAAGGGTAATTATTTTTTAATTGTACTTTTACCAGGGTGCTTCGCTCTCTTTATGGTTTTTTAATATTACAAGTAAAATCAAATATTTGCTACTGTAACATTTTAAAAACAAGCAAATGTTGAAATATAAGGTTTGTGTTATTATTATTGTACTTGAATTTACTTTTTTTGATAAAAGGCGACAGATAAATATGCCTTTTTATCTAGTAATATAAACAATTTAGACAAAACTCTAATTGGAAATAATTCATAAATAAGCGAGCTTTTCAGTTGGTATATAAGCCTTTATCGAAAATATATATATTATATTATAATATTATAATTAAAACCTGTTAAAAATACAATTTCGTTTATGAGGAATTAATTAGATAACATTTTCGGGAACATTCGGATTTGGGGGTTGGTGATTGTGCACAGCATACCTGACCATAATTTTGATGGGTTTTTAGGAGAGTAGTGTGGAATGCTTTTTTTAAGGTGAAGGGTTTTGTTTGAAAGCGAGCAAATTACTTTAAAACAAGCTGAAAATAAAAAAACGGCACAAAACAAGACGAAACAAATTTTGAAATGCAAGCGTCCAAAAATTATTAATAATAATTTTAGTTAGTAATCTTCATTTTGTGTTAGTTAACAATTTTGTTTTACTTGAGAATTTTAACACCGAAAAACCCTTTTACAAAAACAGCGTGCGTATACACACGTTACAGACACATACACACAAGCACACGCAGAGAAAAAGATAGAAAAGAATAACAACAAACAAGAAGAAATGGGAACATTTTTGGCGCTTAGTCAGCATAATTTAGAATAAAAAACTGGTTGCCGGAGGAGGTCATTTGCATTAAATTATATTATTTACCGAAAATAAGAAAAAGAACAAAAGGAAAACAAAATATATAGAATTCGGAAGCAAAACGGAACAAATACAAGATGGCGGCCAGACGTAGAGGTGCCTGTGTGCGTGCGTACATGCAATTGATTGAGTCAGAAAGCCGGCCGGGCGCCATGCGTTAGAGTGAGAGGGGGATAGCGGAAAAAACTACGAAAAATCACATTATCCAGCCATAAAAATCGTACAACCTCTTGTGCGGCCCACTTAATTACACAATATGGCTTCATAAATATGCAAATGTGAGGGCTGCACTAGCTTCTTATAATTTCAGACCCCCCGTTAATCAAGAAATATCACGAAAATAGACAATCAAATGGCTCGTAAATGAACAATTATGTTATTATCTCGTTACTGTACCGCTCGGAAGGCCCGGTATAAATCAATAATTACTATTTTAAGCGCCCAGGGCAAGCGTTAAAAAATTTTCGCCAACAGATACACACACAAAGGTTTTTTTCACAGCCATCACCAATACACTGAAGGAACTACAGAAAAAATCAGCATTTGCTGGAAACTTACGTGAAGCAACGGTGGTTTGTCAATTACTGCTGGTTTTACTATTATTAATTAATATTTCAAGAGCTACTTCGCTTGATGAAAATATTTTAAGAATATTTTTCACTAGTCAAGACGAAACGATCCGAACGAGAACGAGATGGAAAACAGACGTGCACGCACATCGATGAAAACATCGATGCGTCGATGTTTTTCGAAAGTCCGAAATCATCGATGTTTTTCGACCATCGATGTTTTTATGCTGTCACTATCTAGAGAAAAAGCAGTGGAAAGATACGTAAACAAGCAGTTTTTATTTTATTTTTAAAATATATTTTATGTTATTATATATAATAATAAATTGTTTTAATAATGTTTAAGCCCATTATACGAAATGATCTCATCTATCAGTTTCCTAATATAATTAATTTTATTATTATATATATTAATATATTTATATTAATATTAATTAATATATAATTAATAATATTGCTTGTGTGCTTTTTAATAACTTAGAAAACTATATATAAGTTTTTTAAAACTTCGATGGGTGAAAAACATTGATGTCTCCATACATCGATATTTTTGCACCACTACCACAGGGGATATTGTCGAATTCTTAGAGATGACACTACACACAGATAGGTTATGCGATGATTATTGTGAATTATTTTATATTTGGCATGAAAAACTATTGAGTTTTGTGCTTAAAAAAGAAGGTATTCACTATCTATAATCATAAATGTTTTATATGTAATTCAACCTTTATTTAAAAACGTAAAAAATTTGAGTTAAAGCAAACGATTGCGAAATCCTTTTCAGTTCTTACGATATTTCGGGAGCATGTCCCTTCAATGGAAATGCAATTTAGTTGCGGTTTTCAGCTTTGCAAAATAAAAAATTGAAAATAATATAAATAATTATATATATAGGTAACTTATGAACAGCGAATTTTGCAATTTTAAAATTGGACCATTAAAAATCTATACATTTCGACCAAATTAAAAAATTAAAACTAATATAAAGCAAATATACATTTTGTACTTGTTATGTTATGGTGTTTAAAATGGTTTTGTCAAATTTATAAATGTATAACATAACTATTAATACCAATAGGAACTTGGTACTGTGCGCGGGATATTTAAATAAAAGCTAGGATTTATTTATTATATATTCAGTTTAAGCCCAATACCCATTCCACACATGTGTGATATATTATTTATTTTATATAATTTTTTTTATTTGATCTTTTTACCATTCCATTTAAAAAAATATAATAAAACTCAAATCGTTTGTTGAATGACATCATTCGATTTTATTTATTTTGCGTAAAACTGACGCAGATCTCTGCGCCCTTTTGCAATGCTTTATGCATCGATTTGATTTACATACAAAGGGATTAAACATATTAATTGTAAACTTTATAATAGGCAATAATCATATGTACTAGCAATAGTTGTGTTTTTTCCATTTTGTGTATTACTGCTGGCTTTTGTGTAGTTAATTAATTAAGTACCACAGCGTAAGAGTAGGCTCAACAACAAAAATATGTCTGTGGCATATCTTTTTCCTACATCCTTTTAATATTTCTCAATTCATTTTTATGTTTTTTGGTGTTTGTTTTGTGTCTTTGTTTCAAGTGCAGGGATGTGATCTGGGATGGGGGCGTCTACTAAAATTGATAGATTTAACCATACACATTCACATACATTTACAATTAGAATCGATTTGGGGCGGTGCTGGCGAAGAAGTAGCCTCGCCTAAAAACCGCCTATTCACCTTTCAACACACATTAGTTAACGTTATTTATGCTACATTTTTGCCGGGTTCGTGGACTAAGTTGCGCTATTAAACAATAGTAACTAGAGAAAAACACTAAACCAAAAATACGACATGCTTCGGTAAACTCTCTTAGATGTCTAAAGGAAAGGATTACTCTAAAAGACTTAGGAAAATGTGCCAAAAGAATTCTAATACATTTGCTTTCTAAGGCCCTAAAATCTGACTGAAAAGGAAAAGTAGGTCCTTTGACCTATAATTCCATAAATTCTAATGGAAAACCATTCCTTTTAAATATTCTTAAATTGTGAATTTGAAAACAAATCTTTTCTGCTTAATGCTTAATACATTTCATCACATTCCTCCACACACCTAATGTTTTCTTTCCAAACTTTATAGATTCCGCGTGCTCGCATTTATTTTGGTTTGGTTTTTGTGTGTTTGTGTGTGCTGTTTCAAGGGATTTCTAGGGACCTTCTGGGATCGGTTTAGATTCGGAGCTTCCTAGAGCCGCCCTCGACTTATTTACATATGGCAGCCGCTCTGGGAAAGCGCACTTAGTAGAAGAATAGCAGGCGCTCCTGGGCCGAGGCGGAGAGCAGACGCCACGATCGCTTGATGCTCACATATTGGATGAGGGCGCGTATGCTGATTAGGAAGCCAAAAGCGCAGATAAGCCACCACAGCCAGGAGTTCTCGTGCGATGCCAAATCCGTTGAATGCTTCACAATCAGCGTCCATTTGGCCAGCGATAAACCGAAGCCAGAGAGTGCACCATACCGGGCGGCGATTGTGTGACAGAAACAGGTCAGCATCAGGAAGCCGATCCAATTGAAGAGGAACGCCACAATGAATGCCGTTATGAACATAATGTCCGTTCCCAGCAAGTTGTCCGTGGTGGAGAGGCTGTTCTCCGGATCACTAGCATCGATGGCTATAAATGTCAGCGCTGGCTGAGCCGATCGCACGGCTGCGGCACCGTCGCGCAGCGGATTCGGTGGCAGCAAAGGATTCGGCGGCGGCGGCAACTGCTGGGACGAGGGCAATGTCAGAAAGGCGGGCGGCAGCTCTCCATTCAGTGACTTCTCCATCTGGACCTCCTCGTAGGTGGGCAGCTTCCCGTGCAGCTCCTGCGGCAATTGTCCATTGATCATCTCCGGTTGTCCCGGGAGCTGCACTTGCATCTGCATCGGTATCTGCATCTGACCGGGTTCGGGTGTGGCCAAGGCCAGCGAGGGCATCTGAGCCCGCAGTACAACCTGCTGGCCATTAACCGCGTTCGCCTCGTACGGCGGCGGTGCACTGAAGTCTGCCTTTGGGGGGCCCAGTTGATCGTCCCCGGGTGATGGCTGGTTGTTGTGCGGCATGGCTGGAAAAATGGGAAAAGAAACGGTTTCATTAAGTTTGTTTATATCTTGTTATTAAAAACTTAAATACTATATTTAACAAAGCAACTTATATGACACGATAGGAAGTCAAGGGAGAAAACTAATGGTTTAGTTTACAACCAAGATTTACCTATTGTATGAATTGCTCTTAGGTTGTTTTCCATAGATCACATAGGGGATCTTTATGCAGCACTAAAGTATATATATAATTTTTAAAGCTTAATCATATCTCGTATACGTGGCTTTGGCATGCATTTTCGACAAGCTTGACTTTTAAAATATAAATATGTATCTTATATAAGGTAAAAGGAAAGTAATTTGATTGCTTTTTAGTTTTTCGATTTTATTAACGTTAATAGTTCACGCGGCGTTTTAATAAAATTAGGTGTAAAATAAATAAATGGGCGGCTAGCTGCCAAAATTGCATTGCATTAATTCTAGGTTTTCGTTTTTTAGTTTTCTCTCTCTCTGAGCAATAGTTCGTTAATACTCTTGGTCCAAAGTTTTAATTTGTTTTATAAAGGCACGTCAGTGTGGGACTCTTAAATCTACGGCATTCGTCATCTCAGAATGGTGTCGTTAAAAGGTTAAAAGTAAAAACAGTTGGACATGTTAGACATTCAAAGAAAAAAAAAACAATAAATTGTTCGTTAGGTGGCACTGCCAGGCTTTTGCGTGGTTTCTTAGTTAGTTGCAGTGCCTGCTGGGGCGATTGGATTGGACCACCGCTTGATGCTGGTGGGCCTCCTCTAGCGTTAGGATGCGGCAGGGGCCAAAGGGACGTCGCACTTGCCGCAACGGTTTCAAACCATCCACCTCGTCCATTCCCTCGTTCTGGCATCCGCCGACACCATCCGTGGTCGTTGTGGTGGTGGTGCTATCGTGCAGCTTCTGCTTCTGCAGCTTCTCATGCCGCAGGTACAGAACCACACAGCACATGGCCATAAATAGAAGGGCCAATGTCGCTCCGCTCACAATGCTGGCCTTCTCCAGCATTACACGATTCCTCGTGGGCAGGTAAGAGCCATCGATCTCCTTGTACTCGCACCTGGGTCCCATAAAACCCAAAGCGCATTCGCAATTATACAGGATCTCATTGTGTATTTCCACTGTGAAGCAGGTGGCATCGTTCAGGCAATACCAGGCGGCATATGTTGGCGGACAGGCGTAGATCGGAAAGGTGACATTCGGCCTGGGTGTTGTTGTGGTCAGTTCAACATTATCCGGCGGCGGCAGGATCGGAGCAGCTGTTGGCCGCGGCTTGGCAATGGCACGCGAAGAGCAGGCGGCGGTTAGCGGCAGCAAACAAGCGCCGATTAAAGCGATAACAAGCAGCAGATCCTGGACTACTTGCATCTTGATTTTTAACTCATGGCACCCTTTACTTGGAATGTTAGCTGATGATGATACAGGAGTGTGTGTTGTGGTGTATTGAGGTGTGTAAACTGTGGAATTCTTGGCTGGCAGGCGGACTAGCTGGCTGGCTGGCGTGCTGCTGCAAAACAAAAACGAAGTGCAATTAAAATTCAACTCAAAAATGGTTTGTGTGTGTTAATTGCCTGCCTAAGCACCGCGCCAGCCGCCGCCTTCCCACCAACCAAAACACCTATGCTCGACCTAAGTGAGAACGAGAGAAACAGAAACAGAAACAGTTTGAAAAATCGAATTTCATAAATTTTTGAACAGTAAATGTCATCGTTTATTTACCTGGCCATAATCGCGAGCGGAACTCAAGCGGCTGTTGTGTTTGCACAGTTTGCTTTACAATTATAGAGTATATTTAGATTTGTTGTTGTCTGGTTTACACACTCACTTGACAAATGTTCACTTCAGACACTTTAATTCACAAAAATGTTGTGTTTAAAATACTTTATTAAATTTAGACGACAAATTATCAACTTAATCTAATAGGTGCTAATAGAGGTTTCAAAAAAGTGTCAGAGTAATCGCCCAAAATCAGAAGTTATATACTCTATGTAGTTTACATAATTTCAATTAAAGACTACTATATATTTTAGTGTTAAATCATGCAATTGTTTTCAATAAAGTGATCTTATTTAATTTTCTGTAAGCAAGGTTCCCTTTTTTAAAAAGGTATCGAATGGATGGTTCCACCGATATCAACAAATCTTTAATTTAAATGCATAGGCTTTCAATTTTTCAATAGAAACAAACAATTCCATTGTTTTTCTAGTTAAAAAAGCTGCAATTTGAGTGGGCATGTGAATAAACAAATGGGATTTCCGTCTTAGCGGTGATGTTAGCTTTGATCATAACGAATACCATAATAAAATCTGTGCGTTAATCAGCCTAACTAGACGTTTTCTATGGAGGCAGCTGATTAATAATTATTTGTTAAACTTAACAGTCAGCTTAACATTTTTATTGTTAAGTAAGCGGCAGCGGAAATTTTCCATTTCGCATTGCATTTATTTGATTAAATATCTAATTAAAAGCAGCTTGTCTTAGCCATCATGGTCTTGCTAAACAATCCTAATCGAATAAATAAATTAGAAAAAAATGTATAATCGATGTTAACCATGCTAACAATAAACTGTCTAACTTTAAATTTAGATTGGAAAGGTAAACGAAGAATTTCACAAGTGAATAGAGGGCTAGAGAAATAGTTTTTGATACGGACAGGATTATTTCATAGATACGATAGAATTTATTATGAGGTTTCCTATTAAATTAGTGTGAAAGTCGAAACAAAGAAAACATTTCAATGGTTTGATTTCCATTCAATGAACTTATTTTCGTGACTTTAATTTAACATGCGATAAGATAAAGATAATTTACACACAGATATATTTTAGAAAAAAGAAGTGCTATGTGCTCTTTTCTTTTTTGTTACTATTTTGAAATTAAATGAAAGGTTAACAAAAAGAATTGATACTAAGAAATTAAAGTTTAAATTAGTGACTCCATGGAAATATTTATCACTAAAAAAGGTATCCTTTTTGAATCCTTAAACATTACCGTTACAATTCAAATTTCAGAACTCAAAGTCACAAGAGTCTCTTCCCCCTCATATCCCCAAACAAACACAAACACACACCTTTATACATTCGTCTAAAAATAACAACAACAATACGCACGAGTGAAAGTTGACAGCTGAAATGGCACGAGAGTGAGAGAAAGACAGCTAAAGACAGACAGTAGCAACGCACAAATGCAATTAAGTTGACCTTTCGGTCAATTGAAATGGAAACCGAGAAGAAAAGGAACGAGAATTGCGGCCAATCAAGAAGAGTGCTTAGATTGTCCCCAATTTCTGCAAGTGTAAGTGCGTTTGGTCTACTATTTTTTTACGTTTTCGTGTGGGCGAGCGGACGTAAGCTTGAATAATGAGCTAATAGACGACAAATGAGCTCAATGGGCACCTGGGGGCTTATCAAAGAGTGCCCTCGGCGAAAGGGAAACCAAAAGTATGATGATTAGTGCAGAAAAAACAAGAGAAAATAATACAAAAAGTCAGACCCAATATTGATAAAGGTGACGAATGCGATCCACAAGTGTGGAACGCAAGTGGAGCCATCTAGTAATTACAGTTACCAGCGCCAGTGAGTCAGATGTTGGGGCATTTGAAATATTGCAAAATTGCACGACACCGTAAGATCGCGCGGTTGTACAGTAAAGACATCAATAACTCTTATTTTTGTAACAATAAAATGGTATATTGAAAACTAACTTTACAAATGAAATATTAATAATATTTTTAGTAATTGGAGGTTACACATTTTCTTTCCACATTCTGTTTAACAAACATTCTGACTTTCAAAAACAAGGGATCATAGCGAGGTTCCACTGTTACCATGCCCATGTGTGTTTGTGTGGGAGAGGGAGTAGGATGAAGTTGAGAGGGAGAAAGCAACAGGGCCGCCGCAACAAAAGGCGTTGAAAATTAGCAAATTGCCGAGGAAAAAAAATAACAGCGCAGTTTGCGTTTAGGCCAGGTTTTCGTTTCTGGTATTGCTTTTGGTCTTAAATTTCAGCCCCGAGCTCGTTGATAAGAAATTCGAGCGCGTGGACCAGCTGCCGTGCAGCAGGTGTGCCAGAGGGAGACGGGAGACACACGAATGACGGAGGGTAAAAATAAGAAGGAAACCAGTCAAACGGGACCGGGACCACAAAAGATGAAGATGCAAGCGAAAGATGTCGATGTGAAGGGGAAGGTGGAGATGCAAGATGGGGGGAGAGATGGAACAGAACGGAATGGATGAATGAAGGTCTCAAGGGGCGATTTCCTGGATTCTCAGGCATTGAATGAAAAACTGCATTGGTATTGTGGGGATAGAGAATAAGAAGAAAAGGAGGAAAGAGAAGGCGAGACGACAAATAGCAACTGCAAGTTAGAACAAGTTTCCAAGCAAACGGCACAGCAGCCAGATTGTTGTTATTGTACAAGGGCAAATGAATTAATTTACTTGTGTAAATATGAATTAAATAAACAAGTACACACAGCTAGCACACAAACAGCTTTTAAACTTATCAGAGTGTTCACTTTTTTTTTAGCACCTAAGTGGCGAAACCCCAGCAGAATTAAGTTTATTAATTTGCTAAACAAAACATAAACACATGTACACACACACGCACACACTGGGAGGGAGGGTGAAAGAGAGGGAAAGCCAGGACACTTCACCTGGAGCAACTCCTGTAACTGTTACTTTTCCCTCCTCTCACTCTTTGTTTTCAGCCCTTTTTCTATTTCTGTTTCGATTTTGATTCGAATTGATATTCTATTTTGCCTTATCCGTGCCATGTTCTATTTATTCACCTTGTTTTCTTCTATGCGTTGGTCGTTTGCGTTTGCTTTTCTCTTCTGCGCAGCGCTCTCTTCTCTCACGTTTCAGTTTCCGTTTTATTGATTTATTCAATTTGTGTATTTGTTGTGGCCAAAACTATCGCCAGGGAATACTGCAGTTGATTCGTTGGTTTGTATGTGTTAGCTATACTGTATGGAATTAAGATTAGTTTAAACTTGTTTAACTTCGCGAGCGAAGCGAAAAAACAATTGCACCAGCAAATAAATTTTCGTTTTTCTGGCTGAGCTGGCGATGGCAAACTGAAGGGAATCGCTAGCGATGGTAGGGATGTGCGTGACCGTTGCCACATGCAAAGCACGAACTATCAGCACGACACGAGAGCCTTTAGGTAATTTTTGTATTAGTTAATATTTGTTATTCCTATTACAAAATAGCAATTTTTGTAGTTAACTGAGTTTGTTTCATTGGTTTATCAAATTGGTAGGAGTTGCTTTCATTCAAGCGTGACACGCTCGTGTTGATAGTATCGATAACAGTCGATAGCAGTCTCTATGCATTTAGGGAAGCACAATCGGCCATCACTAATTAAGAAAAATTGTAAACAACGACGTGGACGTAATAAATTTAATTAGAATTTCGCCCCAAAGATGCTGAGATTTGTGGTATTTCTTGTGCTGGCCGTAACCGTGAGTTAATAAGGATCTAAAAGATGTACACCGTATATATTTTCCATATCACATTTACGTAGTGCCAGCAAATCCATGCAGAATTGACGGCCGCCGACTGCCGGGAATTGGGTTTCATAAAAGCACAGTTAATGTGCTCCAGTTGTGACAAATTGGATGATTTTGGATTGGAAACAATCAAGTGGGTTTAATAATACTGTTTATAACTATTATACATGATTCTGTGAAACTTTTCTATATATAGACCCCATTGCAAACAATGCTGTACCTTGGATCAGCAGCCGGCGGCCCAGCGAACTTATGCCAAGGCCATTTTGGAGGTGTGCACCTGCAAATTCCGTGCCTATCCACAGATTCAGGCTTTCATTCAAAGCGGCCGGCCCGCCAAGTTCCCCAATCTGCAGATTAAATATGTGAGGGGCTTAGATCCCGTGGTCAAGTTGTTGGATGCCAGCGGTAAGGTTCAGGAGACGCTGTCTATCACAAAGTGGAATACAGACACCGTCGAGGAGTTCTTCGAGACGCATCTGGCCAAGGATGGCGTGGGCAAGAGTTCCTATAGCGTTGTCGAGGATGCCGAAGGCGATGAGGAGGAGGATTATCTGCGTACTAATAGGATCTGAAATTATCATGCCCGAAATGAAGAGTAGATTAATAAAAGCAGTAGAAGTTATAAAGGTAACTCGAACAATCATTTATTGCATGGTCAAGCTTTAAAACTTACATTTTATATATACTAGTTATAACATGAAGGCATTTTCAGCTGAATTCCTTTTGAAACACATTAATTTATATTATTTTGAAGGTTTTGAATAATCTTTAAAAAAAAGTTATATGAAAGTTAAGGAAACCAGTTACCTGTGAATTTGTAAAGTTCAACAAGTTCTGCAGTTTGAAAATCACTCGCCTGTCTGAGCTTTTTTTTGCGCGCCACCGACAAAAGCTTAACAGTTTGAGAACCAGTTTCGACTTCTACTGCAATGCGACGCCTCAGGTGAGTGAGTCGTATATGTTCTTGATTCATAAATATAATAATTAATACGATTTATTTGTTATCTTGTTATCGATGGGAAAGGAAAGTTCCCAGCACCATCAACAATGTCTGGGCTTTGTGGCCACGCCGCATACCTTATCATTGCTACATCACGGAGGCTTAGGTGATATCTTTTGCTGGGGAGGTTCTTCCCCTCCGAAATAACTCCCCCACCGGGAACGGGAAACGTCGTCAGCCGTGACGTAGTGAGCTCACATGGCAGGGTCCTCAAGTCTATCAATATTTGATCAGCCTGTTGGAGTAATTGTGGTAACTGAAAGAGCAAATAGCATATTTATGCCCGCCAAAATCGTGGCTGATGTCTATTTCCGATGTGTGACGCAGCCTTGAAATCGCTTCCTCTCTCACATAAGGTACATATCTTTGGGTTCTTATCTTTATCCGGATATTGCGCATGAGCAAGTAGATTCTCTGGGGGATTTGAAATTTGTATAGTTTTCTAAGGGGTTTTTTAAAATAGAGAATAGCTTTTTAGGGACTCTAAGAGGTTGTTGTTTTTAGAAGTTTATAATGAACTTTCTTTAAAAATTTTCTTTGTGATATGTACCATAAAGGGGTTTTGATTAAGTTTGTTAGTTTAAAAGTTAATTTTGTATAGCTTTTAATTATCAGTTGGTAATATCCTTTACTTTAGGGATAGGGAAATAAATGATAAAAAAACGTATTGTTACTTAACATATGACAAGGACTTTTTTATAAAGATATATTAAATATTTTCTTACCCAAAACCCCTTTTTTTTATTCAAGATTGCAATCTGATCAGTAGAGCTTTATTTTTGAATTAAAAATTGCCTGCAGTAGTATTCCTACAACTGATTACCGGGCTGAGAGAGAGAGAGGAAAAGAGAGCAAATAAAATTGTTTATAAACTCTTTGCACTATCGCCTGTTTACGTTTCGTTACAATGCATATTTTCTATTAGTTTTTCTTATTTGCCGTTCTTGATTTAGCTTCTTTTTACTGCTGCCGCCGTCGCTGCGCTTGTTTATTGTTGCAATCAAAGTTGGGCACAGTGGTGCAAATATTGTTTGGTGACCCAAATTCACCGGCTGCATCCCACTGTTTGTGATGTGTGGACCCTTTATCGACGACAGAGCCAGTGCCCTTGGAATGCATCGAAGCATAAATACATGTGCCAATACAATTCAATCCAATCTCTCCCTATAACGTCAATGCTGTGGACTATTTTTAGCGGCTGCTATCACACGCAGACCCCATCGTGCGGAGATATGTACCATAAAGATGTGTGTGCGTGTGTGTGTGTATAGGGACAATGTACTCCTAAATGTATGGGACTAAAAGGCACGTGCCCCGCCCCATACCACTTGACTATGCAACAAAAATATTCAATATTTTAAGGGAAAGGATAAAGGATAAGATAAATATGTTTTTGTTGATAAAGAAGTTTAAGGAATTTAAATATTTATATTAATTTTAAATTTTTGAAATGTAAATTTATTCAAATATTTTGAACATATTCTGTTCTAAAAACTAATGATTGATTTCCAAAGATTTTCAAGGATTTTAGTGGAAACCTATAAGATATTTAACCCAATTTTCTGCTTTGCATAGTGTCCAATCAAAGGCGAAGGGCTGTAATCAATACTAATTATTTGCTATTATGATTACTCCTACCGCACACACACACGCACAACAAGCCCGCAACACACAATTACAATCGGAATCCGAGAATCTCTGGCGTTCTTATCAATTGTGTGCCATATAAGCAACTTGGGGTGCATTCAACTGGCCTGCGTTGCAAAAACTATATATACAAACATATAGCTTATACAATTGCAATCGGAAAATTAGTATGAATATAGAAATAAATTAAAAAAATTAATAAGTATTACTATTTTTCTAACAGACGGAAATGACTCCTTCAGGGCGTTACAAGCTTTTGATTAAACCTATGATTCCCTGTAAGGTTATCCTTAAATATGTTTATAAGAAAAGTACAACATAGGACAACTTTAGCTTAGGATGTTTTATTAATGCAGATTTAAGATCGATATTATATTATTGACCCCATCTGTGGAGGTTCGGTGATGAACGCCAGCTGGCAAAGGCAATAGCGATGTAGAAATCCATCCAATAATGGAATGACAATGTCCCAAAGGCAATGAGTCCACCCTCTGGGGAGTGGAGCGGATGGAGGAGGAGTGAAGGATGCGGGGAGCTGGAGCAGCATATCGCTGAGACTTCGGAATAATGTCGGCCGATTCTGGTTATATGTATTGAGGGAATCGGGAATCTGCCATGTTGTTGTTACTGATAACATTTGCGCCTTTTGAGTGGCTTTGGGGGGCTGATAACGATAATGACGTTATCGTCACAGCGTCATCGCTGTTCCAGCTAACTCGCAAAACACACTCGTACAGGGAGAGCACTCACACACTCTTAGATTTAATTTCATGCCATTTTAACACTTAATTAAGGTATAACATGAACACACACACAAAAAAAAGAAAATAATAATAATAAACAACAACAATTCCGCCCAGGTATCTCGCTTCGGTACAGTACAGTCGAACCCCCAAAAGATGTTTGGTAACACCGCCTCGACCTCTGTTAACATTAACAATTAAACACAAGAGTGCGAAAAGTAAACATAAACAGCAATAAAAGCACGCGAAAACATTTCAATTAAAATGTTAAGTTTCCGCTGTATAATATATATATTTGGGACTTTTAGGAAAGAGGCTTGACTGTATATTTGCTGCTTTTGTTATTGTTTTTTTGCCTGGCTACGTGTGGGGCTTGCCCTTTACCGTTAGCTGATAATCGAGCCAGCTCTCCCACGCGAACTCTCTCTTTGGGGATCGATCGAAACTCTCTCAGCAGAGAGAAAAAATATAATCTTTCTGGTTCGGATACTATAAAATCGGTAATGTTATATACGAAATATCTTATGGACTCGTTAGTCTTTTAAAAGTAATATTGATTTTTTAGCTTTTAAAACTTATACCATAAACTGTGTATAAAATTCAGATCATTTCGACTATTTATAACAAAAACCTGTGATAAGTATTATAATTTATATTATATATCTATTTTTAAAACGATGTTGAAGTACTTAAATTTCTCCCTTAACTAAATTGTGTTCTAATTAGGGTAAGTTTGCAATTTCTTAAATAGATAAAATTATAAATTTATAGTATTTTAATTTATACTTAACAGAAAACAATTTAAAAACTATTTTCAGTTATTTTTCCCTGTGAGCTTTATTGGTTTTTAAATCTTTTTCGCCATCATATCACTCTCCCGCACTTTAGCACTTTCTGGGCTATAAAGAACCGAAAACTTGATTTTGGAATTACGAATCGTTTGTTTTATTTCCCTGCTTGCTTTATTTATTAAACCCAACTGACGTCTTAGGCATTTATGTGAATATTTTATTATTATTAATTGTTTACTAACCAACTCCCCCTCCTGCTCCCTATTGAGCGGCACATGTGCAAATATGTACCAAGCTGTGTGGAATAGGAGTAGAATTCGAAAGAGGAGTATTGAACAGCAATACTGGCTACCTTCCTCCAGTTATTCAATATTCCGCATTGAACTTTGACTACTAAAATTAGCACAAAATACAAAACACAAACTACGTCGCGCTTATTAACAAAGACAGAAACTACTCGCACTCACACACAGCCACCTCCACACAGGGAGAGAGTGTCAAGTCGGCGAGCAATTAACAAATGTGCTTTTGATTACTATTTTTCTTTTCTTTTTTTTATAAATTTACATAATTTTACGTGCAATTATTCGCACAACCTAGAAATGCAGTCGCCCACGTAAATGGAATTTTGGAACAACAGGTGGTTGTTGGTGCACTGAGGAAAATGCAATCATAAGAATGCTTCTATACAAATCTAAAAAAAAAAATAAAATAACAATTAACATAACGACTATAAATAAAGCCCACACAAATACCGTACAATTATGAGTAATCTTAATTATTAAATTCCAAAATTATTCATTAATTAATTAACATATCTTTCATATAAAAACATACCTAAGTAGCTCATGCATATTAGATACATTTAGTTTCTATTAATTTATTAATAATCCAAATTAAAATGCCATGCTTTTTTCTGGACTTTAAAATCAAATTTAAGATTTATTTGAAACAAATAACTGTGTTATTACATTGAATATAATCTTATAGCTTATTCTCCTCGGGTTTTATTTATTCCTCTCGCGGTTTTTGTTGCTGTTGGTGATGAACCGGTATCTGTTTTTTTATATATAAATGTAATTATATATTACATACACAATTACTTACTTCATATATCGTATATAATAATAATAGTATAATTTATAATTAGCATTTCTCTCTCACTTATCTAGTATTATTATAATTCTTCAAGATTTTGTTTTTATTTGTTTTATTTACGTGTAGATTTTAACACAAAACAGCAGAGACAAATGTTATCGATCTATGTATATATGTATATATATATATTTTGCGCGTTTCCCACATAAATTACATCTTTAAATTACATTTATATTTTATTTATATATTTTTTTTCGTCGCTTTTATGTATTTTTTGTGTCGCTATTTTGTCGCGTGTAAAGTTTTCGCGTTGTTTTTACCTCGTCTCTTACTTTAAGTTTAGTTTATAACTAGAGTTACATCGATAATTAAAAAAAGGAAATCTTTTTTGTTGGGAGGGGGGAGTAATGGGGCTGGAGGCTTTATTAGCAAAAAACATGCTTCGTTACTAGTATTTTAATTGTATATATGTATAAGTTCTGGTACTCGAATTAAATAAAACATTATTTTCACTTTGCACTTTAGAAGCATTTTTTTTTATAAATTTAAGTTTTTGTTTCTTTAGTTTTCCCATTTTTTGTTACATTTATTAAGTAGATTTAGACTCAATAATTTGTGTGTGGTTGTGTATTATTTATAAACAGTAAGTATTATATAAAGGGTTCGGTTCGGGTTCAGGTTCAGGATTGCCTTATCCTAGCTATATATCCATTCTCTTTATTGTTGGTTGCTGGCCATAAAGCTTTGTTTGATTTGACTCTCTTACTTTTATTTGATTAAAAAAGATTTTGAAAATAATAAAAAAAGGATTTAAGTAGGTTCTTTTGGGGGTATTTATAGTGTGGTTCGATAGTTAGGTGATCGGAAAAGGAGTTCGATTTCGAATTGTTTGGAAAAAATCCTATCTACTATTTTGTTAAAGATTTTGTAGAAAAATTTCATTAGTTTTCTTGTTTTGCTTTTGAGTTCGATTTTGATTTTTGTTTCGTAAAATTTGTCGGAGCAGCAGTAGAGCTGCACTTGTGCCTGGACTATCCACTATATATATCAGTATATATATATATATATTTAGCTATATATGGTTATATACTCGTTTAATTTGTGATACTGCATTTATGAAGAAGAATAAGGGTGTAGTGTCTCGAATCTGTACATCAACTATCTATCGCTTTTTTGTTTGTATTCGAAATGTATGTGGGTTCTCCTGAAGGGAACTCTGAAGACTTTACAGCACTTTACACTGAGGGGATCGGTTTCGATATCGGCTTATCTTAAACACTAGTAATTGCTTCGACGGCACATTGGGATTATATATGTATATTTAGAAGTAGGTAAGGTAAGGTAAGGTAAGGTAAAGTGGGACTTGTTTTAATATTTAGCTAGCTATATTTTTCGGGATCGAAATTAAAGAAAATAACAAAAAAATGAACCGAAAATTGGGTTCTGTGACCTAGAGATAGATGGCATATTTCCCAGGGATCCTATGGCTCAATGGCGATTCTCTATTTCATGTTCTCTACCCAGCTTTCCTCGGTTTTCTATTTATTTATAGAGAATATAATTTTGGTCGTTGGTCTAAGACACTTTTTGGTTTCAATCCTTTCTGTCGCTCTCTCTTCTTCCCCTTTAGATATTTTGTTATTTTGTTTTTTATATACAGAAATTAGATCTTAAATATGTGTAAAATTGTATGGTGACTTATGTGCGTAGTTAAGTAAAATCTGAGACTCGCTGTATAAAGGTTTTCGCTTTCGTTCAGGGGGTGCTTTAGGGATTTGTGTTTCTTTTTTTTTGAAGGAGGAAAGAGGGTGTAAAAAGACACTCAAGTACACTTAGGGGGTTAACAATTGTTTTTTTCGATTTTTTCTTGGCTTTTTTTTTGTATTTTTGTAAGAGCTACGAAAGCACGGACGATAACGAGATAACAATATACGGGGCCTGTGTTTTAACTTTCATTTTCAGCATGATATTGCGGAAGTGAACTTAGCTTTCGATTTTAATTTCCGGACATTAAGCTGAATCGGATATAAGGTCGCAAAATAAAACCGCTTTGCTTCCGGCTAACTTAAAATGGAAATCTCAACAGTTAAGGGAAACAATAACAATGAGGCTTTGCCACCTAAAAGAAGAAGTTGCGCACCTCCTCGTCTAGGTCACTGGAGTCCACCAGGTCATCCATTACTCCGGACACCAGCAACTCCACCACCTCCAGCTCCTTTTTGTCCTTGTCGCTAACTGTTGCTGCTGCCGCTGTTGCTTCCACTGTTGCTGCCGCTGTAGCCACCTCAACTGTTGCCGTTTGGTCATCCGATCCTAGCAGCTCCTGGTAGGTATCCTCCAGCAGCACTCCGCTCTCAATGGCCGCAACAGCCTCCTCATAGTATCAGTTGAGGTCGCGTCGAAAACTGTCCTCGATATTGGGATCAGCAATCATGATAGGATTCTGATCGGAGAGCATCTGCAGGCCGGCCACATCCATTTGGCCCAGATCCAGGTCCAAATTATCGAAGATTTCACGCGAAAAGTCCGCATTGGAGGAGTAATCACTAAAGATAATCGAAGGTATATTCGCTGTGGTCGGCGTGTGACTCTGCGAGGATCCTTGATGATGATGGTGGAGTTGCTGCTGCTGCTGATGGTGGTTCATCACCACATTGTTGGAGTTGGAGCAGGCATTGTGACTCACTGGCGAGCTGCTCGAAAGCGGTGAATTCCCATGATGCGGCGAATGCATCGGCGAATGATGCGGAGAATGGTGCAGTGATAGCGATAACTGTTGCTGCTGATGAAGCTGCTGTTGCTGTTGTTGCTGTTGCTGCTGCTGCTGTTGATGGTGATGATGGTGGTGCTGCTGGTGGTGGTGATGTTGCTGTTGCGGTGATCCTTGTGCCGACATGGGTATGGGCAGCGGTGAGCTGGGACATCCTAAGGGTGAGGGAACAGGCGATGATGTGATACCCAGAGGATCTCCACCCGAGGAGGCCCCGGCGCCACCACTACTACTACTATTATTGTTCCCCGCTCCATTTAGATTTGTGCTTCCGTTGTGCGTCGATCCCACCACACCGTTGCTCAGCCCGTTGTTGTTCAAGTTGCTCACTTGACCACGTCGCATATTATTGTTGTTCCCACTCGCCTCTGGACTGCCACTCAGTTCGCCAAAGTCCAGCAGATCCTGTTGCTTGTTGTTATAACCGTTGGTCAGGCCACCTCCATTGCTGCCAGAGCCACCGTTGCCACCACCTTCACCACCGCTCAGCTCGTCAAAGTCCAGGGCCACAAAGGTATTGGCAAAGCCCTGCTGCTCCGGCGAGGAATTGCTATCGCCCAGCGAGAAGATCTCAAACTGATTGTGAAACGAGGTATTCAGACTGTTGTAGGAGGCATCGAATTGGTGCGTCTGTTGCTGCTGCTGCTGTGCCTGTTGCTGCTGCTGCTGTGCCTGTTGCTGCTGCTGCTGCTGTTGTTGTGCTTGTTGCTGTTGGTGCTGCTGCTGCTGTCGTATAGGACTGGCCGGAGCACTCGAGTGCAGATCCGTGGCCGAGACACTGCTAAGCAGGCCGGGGGAGGAGCGCGGACTAGGCGGATTCGGTGGCTGGCGGTAATCGGTGGCATTGTGCGGTCCCAGTGTTGGCAGCGGGTTAAACGTGGAGCCCGCCGCCTGCGTGGTGGCCAAATTGGTAAAGGACAGGTGCGGCGAACTGCTGGGTTGCTGCTGCTGCTGCTGCTGCTGCTGTGTGTTGCTGGTGGGCGAGTGCTGCTGCTGATGATAAGGTGACCCGGGACCGGCTCCTCCTCCCCCCGCCGGACTGAAGGGACTGGGTGATTGATCCCTTTCGCGATGGTGATTGTGCGGTGACATGACGGGCGATAGAGTTTGCTGCAATTGCTGTTGTTGCTGTTGTTGTTGAGGTTGCTGTTGCTGCTGTGGTGCATAGTTCTGCAACGCTGTGAGATCGGGCAGGGAGCCGGTATTGGCATAACTGGCCTGATCCTGCAACGGCCGGAACAGCGAGTTTGGGAATTTGGCGTTATTGTATGGCGTTGTGTGCTGCTGCTGTTGTTGTTGCTGTTGCTGCTGGTGTTGTTGCAACTGCTGCTGTTGTTGGTGCTGCTGCTGCTGTTGCATCTGGAGTTGCTGATGCAGCTGATGCTGCTGCTGCATCTGTTGCTGCTGCTGCTGAAGCTGCTGCAATTGCAGCTGATGCGGTTGAAGCAGCGGCGACTTCCTGCGCTGCGCCTGCGGACTAAAGCTCCTGCCTATCGCATGGTGCGGCGAGTGAGATCGTTGCTGGACCGGCTGTTGATGCTGCTGCTGTTGCTGCTGGTAGTAGTCCGTATTAAAGCCCGCCTCCGCCGCGCTCTGGTGGAGCGCTGAGTCCGAGCTGGAGCGACGCCACAAGCTGTCCGCTGTGGGCGGGCCGAGAAGATGCGGATTGGGTTGGCCATTGTCCAGAGTCTGCTGCGTGCTGCTGCTGCCGTATGGTGAGCGATCCTGCTTGCGCTCCGAAGGTCTCCTCATGGGTCCTACTCCCACGCTGCGTCCTCGGGACTCGCGATAGGCGGTTGGGGAACCACCACCGCCGCCTGCCAAACCATCTGGCGAGGCACCACCACCACTGGCTCCACTGCCGGATCCACTACCACCACCACCGCCGCTGCCTGAGCCATTACCGGCTCCTGGTGAGGCTTGGCTCACCTCCTGACCCCCGCCCAGGCACTCTAGGATTTTCTGGTTAGCCGGTGGTTCGTCTCGCTTTGTGGCATATACTTCCTTCATGATCCGCTCAAATTCCGCCGTGCCCTCCGCCTGCTTCTGCTTTTGCAGGGCAATCTTTTCACTGAACTTGCGCGGATTGGCCATTGTGGAGGATGTGTGGTGTCTGCAGGAGGAAGCTGTTTAAATATAGTAAATAATAATATTAATATTTAGTAAATATGCTGAGTTGTAAGGGGATTTGGGGTGTTCGTTTTGCTTTTGCAAGGTTTTTGTAGGTGAAAAGAAAATAGTGGAGCTTGGAAAATCCATAACCGTGACTTTCTAATTTAATTAGCGAGTTGTTGAGACTTTTCTTTGTTGCTATATATTTATAATTATTAGTTACTAGGCGGAAAATTATTTATGTTTATTTTATAAAATATTTGCACGGAAGCTAGTTAAATATTTTCTTTAGAACCGAACATAAATATATGGGAAAATTTGTAGGATTCCAAGCAAGTAAGTAAGTATATGGAAAAGGTTTTCATTAAAAATTGTGAGAAATGTCTCGGATATCTCTTGCTCTTTATTAAGAGATTTTAAAAACCGCCAAATACTAGTATTTGATATAAAGAAAAGGGCTGTAAACTAGCACTAAATGTTGAGAAGCTGTCTGATAAAAGTATCTCAAGAGAAGTAATAGCTTAGCTTTCCATCAAAGTCTTCCCTCATTTCTTTAAAAAGAAAATACCTGGAAAACCCCTGAATATGTCACAAACGTAGGTATTTTCTCACTCATTTCTCCTCATTCCCTTGACAAAATGAAGTCGCCAATCTGTTGCCATAAGCTCCCTGGCCGCCCATCTCAAGGCATTTCCGCTCCCCTGTCTCGTGCACACCTTTATATATCCCCCAAACCCATTATCTGTCGCAGCAGAAGGGCCATGGAAATGTTTTGTCAGGGGGAGGCCAGCCATCCCAGGTTACCTTCCCCATTTGTGTGTGTGTTTGTTGCCTTCTTGTTTTATCAATTTGTCAGTTGAGCGAGCGAGCGGCTTGCTGCTGATAAGCCAGATACAGATACAAAACAGTCGCCATCGCCTGTCCGAGTCGGAGAATTCGCATTCGCATTCGCATTCGGATTCCCAGTCCCATTCCCAGTTCCCTTTCCCCATTGCGATTCCGATTTGGGTTCGGATCTAGATACGCCATGCGTAGTAATGTTTGCCCGGTCGCTTGTCCCGGTCTCTTTTATTTTTTTTTGCGCTTTCAATGCCATTGCATAACGAGTGTCATATGTACGAACATGTGTACGTACATATATGCGATATATATCTATCTTGCCGACTGTTCAAAAAGGGCGGGAAAAAATATAGCGACGACGGACCAGGGCAAACAACAAGTTTTTATGGTTCTTTGAAACTGAAACTCTCTGGGTTCAGTCTATGCACACAAAGAAAATACTTGGCTAACTAAGGGTCATTTGTCATATTTTATATATAAAGTAAAATGTTCTCCTTGTTTTAATTGTTATTATTTTATTTGTTGCTATATTTCTAAACGTTTTTTGAGGGGTTTCCAGTTTAAAGAATAAAGAATAAGCTTGTTTAAAGCAATATTTTATGCTATGGTATGTTTATGGTAACCTTTTATAAGTGTTTTAATAATTTTTTAAGGGTTTTATATAGTATGTTACTTTTTTATTGCAGGCTTGACCCATACAAACAAGGGTTTTAGTAAATTTAAACAAATTAAGGCTGAAATCCTATATATTAACTAAACTGAGCCTAGCCTTTAAACTCAATTATTTAAAGACATCTGTATTTAAGAATTTTCCTTGTCAATTTGAAATTAAACCTTTAAAAATTAACCTTATTGTAGGAGACATTTTTTGGGGAATTTATATTTCAAAAGATTAATGTTTTATAGCTCCTGTAAGTACGCTTTTTTTCTGCAAGTGTTTCCTGGGGTTCTATTTGTATTTGGGGTTCAGTCAATAGGTTCTTGAGTAGGGGAATTTCTTGGGGCGCTTTTTTTTGCCACCTGCAGCTGCATTATGCAAATGACGGGAATTGCGTAGCAAACGAAATAATCTTTTTTTTTGTTTTGTTTTGTTTTTGCCTTGCATTAATTTATTCCGGTTCCGCGGCAGTGCAAAGTTGAAGCTTTCAGGCTTGTTTTTGTTTTCTTTTTTTTTCGCTTACACGTGAAGGGCATTTTTTTTTGTTTAACAATCTAAAACAACTTTTGGCCAAGCGCTCATAAGAAATATTAAAGAGTCGCAGTGCGGATTATGCTCCAAATATTCGAATCATCGACTTGGGCTTGGTTGCTAGACTTAAAACCATAAACCAGTTCAGCAGCTTGGCGACAACTTTTCGAACAGTTTGAAACGCTGATCGCTCACAAAGATGATGATGATGAGATACGAGATACAAGATACTCGTACGATGATGCGTTGACAAAAAGACCCCAAAAAATAAATAAGGTGGGCAAAGATTGCTAAAACATCAGGCTAAGCAATCTAACACGCAACTTTAAAAACACAAATCAGAAATCGGTCTTTATCTTTAGCAAAGACATATGAATATATGTCTTATCAAATATGAAGAATATGTACATACAGTAAGAGAAATTGTAGTTAGGTTTAGTTTTAAATACAAAAATGAACAATAAGAAACAAATTTTAAAGACGTTTTGACAGAACGTAAGAAGTTATATGGAAATGTATAGGAATATTTAAATATATCTCATATAAAAATCCATATCTCTTTGGTATTATTTGTTTTAATTCTAAAGTGCGAAAGTTTAAGCTTATTTAGTCATTGATAAAATGCTAGCAATATTTTTAGAAGTTTATGGTTTAGCATTTTTAAGTATTTTTGGCGATTGTGTATGATTTGATAAGACCTAAGCTTTTGTTCATTAATTCCCCATTGAATAATTTAATAAACCAAAGAAAAATTTTTGAAAGTATTGGGAATTTCTTTACACAAATGAAAGGCAAAAAATTCCCAACCATAAAATGAATGTTTTCCCAAGTTCTCACACACCTCCAATTCCCACAACCCCTAATTCATGCTCATTATATCTCAACCATTAGCTAAGTTAACCTTATTGATTTCTTTGTCATCGATAAAAAAAAATAATAGAAAGAATAGCTCAATTAAATCGATTAAGGTTATTTCGTTTAGGTTGTAGCCTCAATTTCTCAGCTGTTTACAACGCATAATTTTCCCCCCAGACTGGGGAATCTGATTCCGGTTCTATTACAATTTATCAATTCAATTATTTGCTCGAGACTTTCTTGGAACACCTAGCGGTAGACCTAAAAGGTTGGTTATAAGCAACAAATACACTAAGTTATTTGTATATTGTTGTGGACGTGTTAATTCTTGCTAAATGCTGACACATCTTAGATATGGGAATCTTTACCTTTCATTATATTGAGTGTGAAAATATTATTTAGTAAATAATTTGCTTGATAAGGTTTGGAATATATATATATTAAGATTTTTCACTTTAAAAACTTGTACGTGACAAATTATTAGATAAAATATATCCCATATGATACTATCTTTATATTCTTTATATCTCCTTTATTTGCTCCTTAATTTATGAAGCTTACTTTAAGCTTTAGTTCCAATAATTCCCTCCTTTTACAGGCAGGTTTGTATTCTTTGTCAATTACCCAAATGGGCTCCTTAATTCACATTCAAATGAGTCTCGCCCAGTCACGCATCGCAGCCATCTCTCTGGCAACCTCCACTCTATTCGATGAGTAATTCCCCACCTGATATCGGAAGTGTAAGGCCCATTATGGCTTAAAGGTAATGCAGCAGGTGAAAAATGATGGTAGAATCTGGTGGGGATTTGGAATGCGGCTCACACTGCCGGCAATTGTGGCCATAAAAAGGCGGAGCACGCCTCAAAAACTAAACAAAGGTAGGTATTAATAATTTTATTTTAACTGGGGAGTGTGGGGTACAATCTTTTGGGGGAGGGTTGTGCCAGAGCGGAAATATTCCCACGAATCGATAATGAAATTTGATAATTAGTTAAAATGGTTTCTGTGTGATATTATCAGTGAAGAAATTAAAATGTTTTATTTATTTTGTCAATTGGAAAGTGATATTGAATAGATTTTGGTAGAACGTGCGGGCTTATAATTGTCAACTAAATATTCTTGCCTGGTCCGAAATAATCTATGGGTCATTATTTTTTATTGCTTTAAGTAAAGAATTTACGTGAGTTTAAAGTAATTTTTTTTAAATTCCTTTTGTTGTAAAATTTCATATTTTAAAGTGCCTTTAAACCCCCTTTAACATAATTCAGCCTACGTCCCTGCATCTCTCACTACTCTCCTTCTTTCTTTTATCGGCAACTCTCTTCTGCTCCTGGGAATCAGCTTATCAGCTTGACTTTTTGGAATTTTTGAATAATTTCCGATGTTTGTTTATTTATCGCAACAGTTTCAAAGAAAATAACGAAAGAAATGGGGGGACAAGGGGGAAAAACATTGGCAGAATTGCGTGCAAAGCAAAGAGGCGGCAAAAACAAAACGAATGGGCGGAGGGTGGGAAAGGGACAGGGAAAGGGTTTACTTACAACAAAAATTCCTTTGCTCTCTCACTCTTTCACGCTCTCTCTATCGCGCGCGGCAAACTCCAATTGGATTTTGAGCTGCGGCTGCTGCTGCTGCTCTCTCTGAATGTTGCTCCCTCGCTCTCGCTTGCTTGATTAAAATCTCGTATAGAAGAATTTAATTTTTTGGCGCTTTTTTTGTTGCTGTTGTTGGTTGCCGTTTGCCTTTTGCGTTTTTTGCGTCGCCTGATAAAACCAGATTTTGATTTTGAGTCGGCGGCAGTTGTGTGATTAAATCCGAAATTATTTTAACAACTGATTGTTTTTTTTTCTTTCCTTTCTGTTGTTGTTTGCTCGCTCTTATACACCGACACAAACACACACACACCTGCACACGCGCACGCACACTCGGGCAGGTTTATTGTTTTAACGCAGAACTGCGACGTTGTTTTTTATTTTTTATTTTGAACTTTTTTTTGTGTGGTTACCGCATGAAGTGAAAAACTTTTGTTGCGCCTTTGACCTCTTTTTCACACGCACACACACAGTCGCAAACACACACACGGGCTCCCCTCCAATTGGGATTACAGCACGCAGCAGCAGCAACAGCAGCGGTCGCGGCGGCGGCGGCAGAGGCGGCCGTTTCTATATTGCATTTCCTTGATTTCTATATATTCTTTGCTCCGATTTTTTGGCTTTTGTTTTTCACACTCACCAACACACACGAACTCACACGCAGGCACACAGCCGCAGAGAGGCAGCAGAATTCTTATACGCACACACACACACTGAGGCACACGAATGGGCACGCGGGCGGGCGTGCGGGGGAGCAACAGAGATGGGGGAGATTTTACAGTTGTGCACACTCACTTCGCAGCAATTTCTTATTCTTATTTTCGTTTTCGCGTTTTTTATGCCCCCGTTATTCCGTTGCACTCTCTTCTATTATTGCTTCTGCTTCTGCTGCTGCCGTCCTTCTTCTTCTTCGCTCATCTTCGTCGTAGCTGCTGCTGGCGTTTTTCTTTTCACGTTTTTGTTACGTTGCCCGCGTTTATCGCAAGCTGCCTTTGTCGCCGTATTTCGTCCGCGAATTGCGCTTTGCGTTTTTCACCGTTTATTGCACGTTTGTTTTGTTATTTTTTCACTTTTGCACACAGAAATGATAAATAATAATAATACTCGATTTCAGGAGACACTACTATCGACTACTCGATACGGAGAGCCGTAAGCGATTAGTACTCGATTTCTTAAGATATCGATTTAAATAATCGAGTGAGATACGATAGTTTTGGGAAATCAGGTGGCGATGGTTTGTAACCTCCAATTGGATTTATTGAATTGTTAAAAAAGCTTAAAGCAATAGATAAATATTATTTGTAAAACAAACCAGTTTAAAATTAATATTACATTTTTATAAGCATCATAAGTAAATTAGAATTTGATTAACAAAGGAGTACGATTGATATTTCATTGTTAATTGTCAATTGCTAATTGTTATTTCATGTTTATTAAATAATTACAAAAATTAGATTTGCAGAAATCTAAATTTAACTATCCAAATAAATTTAAAAATTGAAATTATTATATATTTTGTATATATTTAAGATTTTCAAAATTATCGATTGTTTCTCATTAATGATTAGTGCTGTACAGTGCCACCTGCTATTTGGGCAAAAGATGGCGGCAGGTGGAGAGAGGACCTCTAGCGGGAGTTAGCACAATTAAAGAAATCGAACGTTATTTTTGAAAAGTAAATTTGAATGTATTATTTATTGTTGTCTATAACTATAACTATTTACCGAATAAATTAAATAGAAGCTTGTGTTGTTTTCTGTAGCATATGTTTGTAAATATTTATTTTGTAAATGGATTTTAGTTTTTAAATTCCGTATTTAAAAACAATACATCTTTTTTCTGCGAACCATTTTTTAGGTTTTAGTGGTTCTTACAAATAACTTATACAAATGTCAATTTAAAATAAGCAATTTTTTATCGAATTTCAATCTGTAAATATAATCAATTTTCCAATTCCACAAAAATTTTCATAAAATCCATTAAAGGAATTATCCAACGTTTATTGACCTGCCGTTTTTCCTTGGAAAATTTGTTTGTACATAGAACCCAAAGGGGTGAGCGAAAAATCCGATTAAAGCCTCCCCCACGGGCCACCCGCTAATTCATTTCAATAATTGAGCACCTTTTCGACTACCTTTCGACTGGCCGCTTTTTCATGGCGGAAAAATGTGGTAGAAGGCGGACACGAACGGAAGGGGAAAGGGCTCTATTAGTTCTGACATTCATTTGACAGTTTGACGAATGAATTATGTACACAAAGGGGCACAAATATTTATGAAAGAAATGGATAAAATGCGGGAAAATATGGTGAAAGAAAGTGAAGTAATAGAATAGGTACACTATGGAAATTAGGGAATATTTTGGAAGAAAAATTGTATTAATGAATTGTTAATATAAACAATTGTCTTTTAAGATTCAATATTGTACAAATAATAAATTGTTATAGCCTTAGCTGGAGAATTGATGGAACTTTTTGAAACAATAATTTATAAATAACAATCTTTAACCAGTTGTTCATATTTAGGATTAAAAGCTGCATAATTTATTATTATTGTTACATTATATTGATTAAGATAAAATAAAATAAAAAAAGTAATAAAAACTTTTCTATTTAAATAATTTTTCCCCAGTACACTCAAACCTTAAAGTGTACTAGGAAACACGGGAAACTGGTCAAAAGGAAATATTCAGAGCGATTTCTATCGCTTGCACACAATTTAGCTCCGTTTCTTTTCCAACTTCTTGGCCTTCTTCTTGGCCTTCTACTTTGGGCCTGGCTTCCACTTCTTTTTCCCCTATTTCTCCTTGTCGACTCCCTTAAATGTCTTCGTAACCCCGAGGCCGCCAATTTGCTTCCAATTCCTTGCTTCAAGTGTCTGCGAAATACGAAAATTTTTGCAGGAAAGAGAAGGTTTGAAAATAAGGGAAAAGTGAGAGAGAAAGAGCGCGAGCTAGCAAGATTCGTATCGTGGAAAACAATTTTAAATGGCGCACACAAAATGCCGGAAACCAGACACAAAATGTTAACGGAAAGGGAAACAGACGTTTACACACACAGAGACACACACAGGCATAGGCAGCGAAACGCACACACGCACACCGAGTGCCATTTTGAATGTGTTAGTTGATGCAATTTAAATGCCACTTAAACGTCATAGAGAAATATTCTTTTTTACTTGATTCATGTCAGCTTCTGATGGGTTTTTACAAGTTTTATTTAGTGTTATTTGATTGTTTCCTAAATTGTACTTGAATACTTTTCTTGTAAAATATGAAGAGTTAAGAAACTGTTCAATAAACTAAATATTTTATTAAATATAGATTTATTTCCCCCATTTTATTTTATTTATTAAACATTAACCTGACTATTTTCATTACAAAAACCCATCCAATTATACAATTTCCAATTTGTTAATGACTGCCCTTAGTTGAACAGGTTTTATTACCTATTTTTCATCATGCTCCTCCTTCGACCCAAGTACCATTATCAATTTTATTTTCGTCTGATGAGCAATCGAGAGCAAGCGAAGCAACAATCTCCACGAGTGGGCGCTGTTTAATTAGACAAAACAGCTCTTCACATTTAACGCATATTAATTTTCAACTACGCTATATTATTAACGAACTTTGCCTTCAGCAATTGCGAAAATAAAAAAAAAAACCGGGGAATATTATCAGCGTTTTGCTACTGACTTCTTATCATTTGATATCAATGTTGTTGCCTATGACGCCCCCGCAGCTATGAAATCAAAGTACTTGACTTTCTATTGGCAATATTTGGGCATTGATTTCTCACCCTTCAATCAGAGTTCTAGTCTCGTTTTTTTCCAGGTGGTACTTCTCAAGTAAGTCCGCGGTTCAGTTCGCATTTTTTCGGCGGCAACAGCAGTAACAATTAAAACCAACGAGCAACGATTGGAGGCAGCATTTAATGGTATATAACCGAGTATCCTCAGCTGAACGTGTAGTAAAATAGATAGCCAGAGCTGTGAAATTAAATTTTATTTCAAAAACGTTTTCACATAACAACAAAGATAGCACACACACACAGAACAAATATTAATTGTTGGAATTGGGAACAGAGAAACAGAGATCTGCCACTGACAGTGAAACACAATTGCCTCTGCAGAATTGCAATTTAATTGCTCAAAATATTTGGAACTCAATTTAAATTTGACCAGAAATAGTCTAGAAGGTAAATATAAATTTTTCTTTTTTTATGCACATATTTATTAGTGTTTCATGAAAGCAATTTGAACTTATTTTTCTTGCTTTTATTTGCTGTGTGTTCTTGTATTGATTGATAAGCTTTTAGTGGATTAGTTTCTTTAGATTTAGCCAGATTTGGGATTTTCCAAAGAACCTTTGAGTGCTTTTGTGAAGTGATTGATTAGAAAATAAATCTAAATACAAGTAATCAATAGAAAATCAAATGATTTAAAGTTGTTAAAGTGGTATAAACAGCCTTGAAGAGAAATCAATTATAATTATGGCAAAAGAATTTAAAGCTGTTAAAATTTCTCTATATTTGTAAATTAAAATTCTAAGTTAAGTTCATTTAAATATACCACGTTACCTTTTTATATAAATTCCAAATTAGAAACTAATTGCAGTTGCTAGCATATGCACTTGTTCCTTGAAGCCTTGTCCGCCCATTTGTGCTCATTATCTCCTCGTCCTGTTTTGCTGATGTTGCCACTCCTCCTTCTCCTTCTGGTTTCCTGCGCTTTTCTTTCTTTTCCCAAACTTTTCTTGTTTTCTTTTCCCACAAAGACAAAATAGCTGCTGCAGATAGAGACAATCGAGTGTGTGGGTTCAAATGCAGGAAATGTTTTCCCTGTTTTGTCTGTGCATTTGCGCTCGTTTTCCATTTCACATATCCTTTTCACAGGAGTAGCTCCTTTTCAGCTCTGCTCTTCTCGCCCATTAAATGGCGCGTTAAGCGGGAAAAAGAGAGCAAAAGTGAAGAGAGTTGGTAATGCACTCTTTAAGCTGCTTAATTGTTGCCAAATACTCAGGGAATTTTCACCAAGACACTGAGAAAATTGATTTATACAAATAGTTTTAAATGTAAAAACTAACATTTTGTGATTAAAATTACATAAATGAGACAGAGCCTTAATATGATTAAATCTACAATTCATTATTGATAAAAATAACGAAACTCTAAGACATAAAATATTTTTAGAAAACATGAAAACATTTTAAGTCTTTACTTTTGTATAATTTTCAAAGCTTAACCTTGACAGAACTTAATTTAATTTAATTTATTGTAAAAGTGTGATTTTCATTCTGAGGACTTTTGATTTAATTTTCATGACACTGGATTTTATAATACAAATTTTCCCTGTGCTGACACTGTAGTCTTTAACTCTTCAGGAACTTAAGGATGATGCCGGCTCATAAATCTTCAGCCGACGCCATTCAAATTGCTCAATTGATGGCACTGAACAATGGCTGCCGATGCGATGCTGGGGCTTTTGATGGCCGAGGCCAATGGAGGATTTTCCTCCATTTTCTCGCATTGTGCAGCTGTCTGTTTAGCGGGAGGGAAAATGTAGAATGGAGCAGCAGTAAGAGGAAGGATTTGTAGGCAAGGAAGTTGGGCGCGCTGAAGCGTTAATAAGCCTTGCAAAAAAGCACACACAATGTGGCATGCAATCTATGCTGGTTGTCAGTCTTCCAGAAACCAGTAACTTGGGGGTCAACGATGGGCAGATTGGCAGAGATATCTTAGCCATATGTCTTTTAAAATATGAAGGAATTCTTAGCTTAGATTTAGGAGATTTTCAAGGATAATAAGTATTATAAACAAAAGCTTAAAGAATTTACAAATAAAACTATAAATAAATTATGAACTATATAATAAAACCTAACATAAACCCTTAAAACAAATCATTAATAAAAGTTTATGAATGAAATTAATATTATTTTTATACAAATTCAATATTTACCTTTATAATTAAATTGTGTTAACTGAAAATCCATATATTTTGCTCCTAATAATGTGCTAATTAATGGTTTAACCGCAACCTGTTTTGTTAATTAAGTCTAGTGACGCAAATTCAAAAGGTGTTAATAAAAAGCAAATTAAATAAAATCAACAAACGGTTTCTTTAATTGATTGAAAGTCAATAAAAAAGCGTAAATATTTCTTTAAAGTTTAACAAAGAATTATTTTTATACCAGTTAGTTAGTTAGTAAAAGAAATATATAAAAATTTAAGGGTAACCCGAAACCTTCGTTAGGAATAAATTGTAGATATAAAGGCCAGCAGTGGCCAAAGGCCAAGTAACAGGAAAGGATACTCCCTACAACAACCCGAGATCCTTTTGTTTCCTTGTTTATGCGCGTAGACAATTGCATTTTACTCTATTGTACAATGGCGGCAGTACTCCTTGAGGTCTCCTTGAGGCCTCTACTTCATTGTATTAATAACTTGACGCCGCCTGAATTGAAAGCAAATTTTCTAATCCTTCGTTGCAGGTTGGCAGGATGGCAGGATACCGTAGGAGTCCTCAACTACAGCTATATATATTCCTGGGCCTGCTGGCCTCGGTGTTTGCTTCATTACCAGGAGAACTTCAAGGAGCAGCAGCAGGAGGTGAATCAAGGATGGATGTTCTAGGACTAACGCCGGGCCAGAGAGTCCTGGCTGCAGTGCCTGCAACGGGTGAGCATTGTTTTATGTCATCAGTGATGGTTATTTGGGTTACTGGGATTTTTATAGGAGATCGTAAAACAAGGCTAAAAGGGTTTTAAAAAATATAAAGTTTAACTATTACGCATCTGAGTCTTACATAAAACTAAACAGTATCTTGTCCCTTGGTTTATTAATTCACTTAACTATATTTTTTATTTTAATATATATATTATTATTTAAGAATACCCTTTAAATTCCCTATTTCCACATCTCTAACATATTCCTTTGTGACTCTATATTCCCCTCTTGGTTTTCCAATTAGCTTTGTTTATCACGCATACGCACTGTGGTCTCCTCGCTGGAGTGTCACCTGGAGTGGAGGGCATACAGAGCACGAATGTCAACGTATTCTTAATTGGTATTTCGTTTTCCACCAACATTTAGTTGCTCTAGCTTGCAATCAGCGCTTTTTCCTAGTTCTATTTCCATTCGCATTCCCATGCCATGGCCGTTGAGAGCCCCAAAAATAACTCAAGTGTCACCGGGCGCTCTTGCTCACCACGGCGATGTTTCAAGAAGCTGTGAACCGGTGAGAGCGGGTTAAGAAGAAGGTACAGAAGGGGTTAAGTGAGGTACAGAAAACAGTCAACTGCAGCTAACATCATAAACTATAGATTTCCTCAAAGTTATTGAGACTGAAGTATGAAAATGTCCTTTTTTCGATAAAAATTAAAATAATCTCCTAACTTAGTTCATATTTTATATGATATCTCTGTCTCTTATAGCCAGTATAACCTGTAACTTTTATCACTTACTGAGCGTTTTGTGTGACACTATTATCCCATTGCTTCTTCTCCCCATTTCTCGTCAGTCTTCAATTTTGAGCTCCACTCGTGCTGCTTGTTTTTTTTTTTGTTTTTCCACTTCTGCTGGTAGTCGACGACAATCGCTATATCCGCTTGTTGCCTGTGCCAGTTGCTTTTAGTCCTTGTGTGTGGCCCCAGGACCAATCCAGATTCCATGCCTTTGCCCGCATCCACCTATCCTTGGTTCTCAACCGCCTGCAACGCTTCCGTTGCAACGAGCGTTGCAAGCGGCATTTGATGTCGCCTGGTGTCATTTGTCACGCGTTGTCGCTGCCGTTGTTTGTTTGTTTACCGATGCGTTGCTCCTTCTTGCTGTTGGTGTTGCTGTTGCTGCTGTTGGTGTTGCTCTTGCTGCTGCTGTTGGTGTTGGTGTTGCTGTTGGTGTTGCTGTTGGTGTTGCTGTTGCTGTTGTTGCTCCTTCTTGCTGCTGCTGTTGGTGCTGCTGGTGTTGCTAATGTTGCTGTAGTTGCTCGTCTCGCGTTGTCAACGCAGATAGTGAGACGTGCACAAAGGAAAATCGAAGGGTAATACGCGATTTGATTAAATTTATTCTTAGTTTTTGAAAAATGATCTAAATTTACCTTTTAATTTGTGAGCAAGATTACACTTGAATTTATTTTAGAAGCCTTTTTTATTTAGGCCACAAAATCATGCTAGAAATAATTGTAGAATTACATTTGATGACTTTAAGAAATATTTTTTCCAAGTTAATTAAATCAATTATCTCATATATGATTGTAAATTTGTAAATATGATTGTAATATTTTCTTCAGTGCTCTTTTTGTGTTTATTTTTCGCATCCAAATGTGTGGGCCAAGTTTATTCTTGGCATCATTAAGCGCCGACGACAACACTTAACACATATTGTTGCCATCCACTGGCCATGCTCCTCCTTGACACCGTCTCCTCGCGCTTGTCCTCATCCTTTTTCCCTTTTCCCTTCTTCCGCTTGGAACACTTCACACAATTGAGGATAAGTAGTGCCAAATGCCGGGGAAGCCATTAAAATGCAAATTTCTAGTGGTCACGTGATGATGCTGCACGCTTGGCCCACATAAACACAGCGCAAAGAACAACGAACAACAAAATACGCGGCCAAGAAAAGCCAAAAACAACTGACACTAACTCAACACCAGGCACTGCATCATCGGTGACTTTCGCTTTTATAAAAAGAACAAAAACAACAAGAGAAAATGTCCTCACTTTGTTTTGGCCTTTTCCGCTTTCCTCTTTCGCTTTTCCGTTGCCATTTAGTCGCTTTCCACTTTTGGCCGCCTGACATTTTGGGTCAGTTGTCTCATTTGTTTTCCAACCGCGATGCTTCTCTGTTTTTTGTTTGTGTTTCGGGTAATTTTCAACTTTAAAATGTGTGATTTATTGCCGAGATGCAGCGACAACTTTTTGCGGTGCGTTAAACATGGCGTATGATTAACGTCAACGCGGCGTATGCGTAACGCGAACTCCTGCCAGCAGCACTTAGCGACAGACGCTCAAAAGCAAAAAAGCAGAAAAGCAAAAAGCAAAAGCAAAACGAAGAGAAAAGTTATTTCGCCAAAGCGTTTCTGAACTGCAGTTTGAAATTAGTTTCAAGCGACAAGCGCACAAATCGTACAACAAGTTAATTAAATAACTTTCGTGAAACGAAAGTGGGAAAATGATTGCAAAATTAATCTCAAAATATGAAAGATGTTTATAAGTTTATTGCACAAAACTGAAAATCACTGAATAGTTCAATGATTTCTGATCTAGCTTTGGGGCGCAAAAAAAGAAACTGAAAAACAATTAAGTATTTATTAGGTGAAGCATGAAATTTGAAGTTAAAAGTAGATTAGCATTATAAAAGTTTGCTTTCAACAAATATTGAATTTTCGCAATGAGTTTTCATTAAAAGTATATACTTTTAAAAAATTAATCTTACTTTTAAGATTACTTCAACTAAGATACATCATTAATCTTTGATTAGCTTTATTTTTATCTCTATTTTGTATGAACTCATTGAATCGGAAATTAGAAAGTCATTTCAAGCTGAATGGCATTACCTCCATAAAAAAGAGAACCCTTTTTGAACTTTTCCCCAAGGTGAGATTGCCAAGCAATTTGATTTCTTTCCTTCGACTTCGATGATGGGACAGAAGAAATGTTGGCCTTAAATGTCCAATTGATTGCCAGCGATTTGAGCTCCTCCTTGGAAATTGTCTAATGACTGCAACTCGAGACTCTTATCAAAGATTCATGTGCACATTTGCCAATCACCTTGACGAACGGATCGCATTTCTCCGATTTTCCTCAAGTTTTTCCTTAGCCACTTTTCGCCATTTCCAGTGTGTGTGTGTGTTTGTGTGTATTTTCTGTGGCAATTGCACTTAACTGACAGTAAGTAGCTAGTTGAACTCAAACAAAATGCTTAGCGCACAATCCGAGAACAAAACAGAGAAGAGCTCAAGGAGGCTTCAAAAAAAAAAACTCGAGTGCTTTGGGGTTTTAAATGGAGGACAGCTTTTGGAGTGTTTTACAATTAAATTTCTTGCCAAGAACAGGCAGAAAGAACTTATAGAAAGTGAGGCTGCAACACTGGGAGAAAGTGGTTTAAGGATAAGGATACGTTTACTGAGTAATAATTGAAACTTATCATACCTCTAAAAGTACTTAATAAAAAGTACTTTATAAAAAGTATTCTGTATATTAAATATATATATTTTCTGCACAATTTTAAACCCCCACAAAATCACAAGTACATCCTATTTTTTTCAGTTTAATTTCAACACCTAAGGATATATTTTTTCTCCTTCTTACAGGACGCGTCAGTTTTTTGCTTTACCAATTAGCCTCGGCCATAAATTCAGCCGCCGACGGCCTGATGCCTCAGACGGTACAGGAAGAAGTGGAGATGGAAGTTCTGGAAGATCGGGAGCAGTTCCTGTCCGCCAGTCCGGATCCCAACTGGCTGGCCGCCATGGCCAATGAGTTTCAGGTAAGGAGGAGCTCTCTCCCAAAGATAACTCCTGCCAACATAAATCACGCTGTGTTGTTGCTGCTTAACTTTTGGCATCGTGTTCGTTTCGTTTCGATTTTAGTATATTTTCGCTTTTTTTTTTTAACTTTCGCCCCGGATATCTGTCAGAGCTCCCTTCCTGAGCGGGTGGTAGACATTTTTGGAGTAGCATCTCCTTCGGGCACGTGACCGCACGGTGGTCACGCTCCAGTGCCGCCGGATTTCATTTACAGCCAGAAGGCACGCCACGTCGCTTCCCTGGGATTGAAAACAATCAGGCGGCGCCACCAAAAGATTTATCAATGCCTTCGATGTGAGTGCCATCGAAGGGCAATAACCGATTAAGTCCTGAAACCAACTTTATCACTGCTCCTTCGATTACACAGGCTCTTAGCAAATAATTGCGAGAGGATTATAAATCCTAACAGGCTTTAAAATTTCAATTTGTTCAGAGGTTTTTATGCTAAGAGCACTCAAAAAAAGGGGTTTGAGTATATATCAAGATAACCTGAAAGGTTTTTAAATCTTAACGGGGTTTAAAAATGGATTTAGTACCGATTGTTATGCTCGAAAAATTTATGATCCTTAAGCCATAAAAAATATTAGGAAGAGAGCTAAGGCAGCTGAAAGAGCGCCCTGCTTTAGAATTTTAATTTTCTATATTAAATTTTATACTAATAATATTATAAAGATCAAAATCTAAAGTGCTAAGAATCGATACTTTATTATTATTATTATTCATGTTTAAGAACAAAAAATATGTATAATTGATATACCTATTTTTCCGTAATCAAAAGTAACTCTGCATTTAATTTAGTTTCTATTACATAGCTCTCAGTTTCCTAGCTTTTTTCCGAAAAAAATATCCTTCCCTACAACCATTTCCAATTACGTTTCCTTACAACTGCCAACGTCCTGTTGATTTTTCCTCCCAAAAAGCCCCACAATGTGGAACAGCTTGGTTTCCTTTGGTTTCTATTGCAGGCAGTTTGATTGAAAATTCATAGTTTCGCCCGTAATAATCACATCATACAGATTCATGATGCAACCCACTTTGCCAGAAATTGCCTCAAAGCCAAACCAATTTCAGGGTTCGAGATTGGAGCTGGAAAAAGCTGAAACTGAGAAAGAGTGCTGGGATTATGACATGCATCGAAAGGTTCTCATTAGCACTTCCATAAATAGATTGTAGCCTCTCAAAAATAGGTTTGCTATATAGTTAAGTTATATATATTCTATAATGGTTGTTTCTGTAAAAATTTAAATACTTGTATCTTTTTCTTTCTCCCTCAAACGGTACTATGGAGGGTAGAGTTTTTCCAGTTTTTCCGCATTGCATTTTGCAATGTTTGCGACTTGGTTTGGCTTTGAGACATCTGCTTTCAATTTTGCAGATTGTCTAGCAAAAATAAATGCAAATTTTATGCAAAACAAACGACACTGAGATAGTGAAAGATATATGTTATTGTAGCTGGAGAATAGGGAAAAGTCCTCCGTTGGGTTTGCTTTTCCGCTGTTTGCATTGATAAGAGACTGTTTTTGGTTTTTGTTTCCTTTTTTCATATATATCATATTGTTAAGACTGAGTTTTCTGGGATTTTTACAAAGTTTAGTAGTGTATTTAAATATTTGGAGGAAGTTTAAAACATGTTAAAGAAATCAATAAAAATAGAGCTTAGTATACCCTTTTTAGGTATTAAAACTCTAGGGATCCTTGGAGCAACCTAATATATATTTTATATATTTCCTATAATTTTTAATACTATTTTTAAGTATTTATATTTATTCCAAAATAATATAGTTTTTTTCTGTCTTAAAAAACAAAGAATATCCTTTAAACGATTCGCAACTAAAGCCCAAAAATCTCCTGGCTCTCCTCTGAGAACACTGTTTACATTTCGATGAATTCCAAAGCTACTCGATTCCATTATTTCTTGGATATCCTTGGCAACATTTTTCAGAGAACCAAAACCGCTGTTCATTAGGCTGTTGGCAGCACAGCATCGCAAGCAAAAGAGAAAAAATACACAAGACAAGGCCTGGGAAATGTCCACTGGGGATTACTTTGCTTAATTCAACTGCAAATGAAAATTGTTTGTTCTGTAAATTCAATCTCTTGGTGTCTTGTTGACGTTGTCATTACGCCGATGTCTGGCTGGGGCTCAAGCAAAGGCTCAGTCTGTGTTTTCAATCCAGGACTTTTCTCCTCCTCCTCCTGCTGGCAGCCATTGCCAGTGTTCAGTTCATCAAAGCGTAATCTGCACAAAATGGCGTCACTTCCTTTTGAGGGCGAGGTGGTAAAAAAAAGCAAGCAGTCCAAGGAGGCAGTCCAAGGAGGCAGACTACGAGGCAACTTTAAGGCTAACTATGCCGGCGCAAAGGATGCCCCCTAAGCATCCGAAGGATCTCCGAAAAACCGCCTCCCTTGGCTCTCTCACCTAATGGAGTCATAATTCTTCAGCTCGTTAGCAATACATGCAGCGTAAATATGCTTGCGCCGAAAAGTATGCCAGGCATTTCTTTTCGTCCTTGCCACGTTTTTAAGGACCCTACCCTGGAGGCAGTGCCTTGGGCAACATTGGAAATGCCAGAATCGAGCACAGCCGTTGTTAAAGCCAGTTTGGTATTTGAAATTAATTTAATTTCCAGTTAGGGATTGTAAGGAGTTGTCTAGCGGAATCATCTTATAATTTTCTAGTTCTAGAAAATAGGGAAAATTTGATAATATGTGTCTTCTAGGTATATTAAATCGATAATCTAATATGCTAATTTTTTGGCTAAATTATAGATTTTCGAATATCATAACTAAGCCAAAAATGCATTAATTTTAATGCGGATACATTTTCTGTGCTAGTTTTTATAGTGGCAACAAAACTGCATACTGGGTTTTAGAATTTAAAAAATTCAAAATTTTTGAAAACATTTTCACTAATTTAACGATGCAACCCCTAAAAGAATTTTGAGAAAAATTCAAAAATTTATTTTTCTCCAGAACATGGCTAGATCGATTCAGCTGTTGATGCTGATCAAGGATATATATGGTTTATAGGGTCGGAAAAGATTCTTACACTAAGTTTTAAAATTCTGACTGAAATAAGAATACTATGCAAGGGTATAATAATGTATTAAAAGTCGAAAGTCTGGCTTTTAAAACAATCGTAAGGGTAATTTATAATTAAGTTAGGCTCTTAACTGTGAGTTTACATTTGTAGATATTACTAAAACAAATTAGCTGTATCACTTTAAATTAAAATTGATTAATAAGGTTCATGGGAATAAGGGAATTAATTGGCAAGTAACTGTGTAGCTAGCATAACTAAACTAGACCTAGGCCTGATCCCTTTTATAGAAATTATATACTTGATATTATTCTCATTTTCTGGTTATTTAGCTGTATTTCATTACTCAGGGTATATTTTTGGGGCCGAAGGGATATTACTATCACTATCACTGCCACTATCACTATAGATGTAAACAGGAGAAAGGCCGCGCACAGAATGAGGGGAGTGCGACGTCCGTGCCTGTATTTATAGTCCCCGAGTAAAGAGAACAGAGAAAGTGAGAGCGAGAGTGCAATGGAAATTTCTTATTTTAGGCGAAGCGCTATAGAGAGAGAGAGAGAAAGCTATCTCTAGAGACACAGAGAGATAGAGACAGAGAGAGAGTGAGGGAGAGAGGCTATTTATTGCCATTACAATATTATAATATTACAAAAACGGAAGTTGACTTAGTTAACTTTATTTATTACTTATAAATATTTAAATATTTACCAATTTTAATACCAATATTTTTATATTTCCTTATTCTTATAGGGTATCCCTTTAGTCTTACAATTTTTAATAAAAATCCTTCACCATCAATTTGTTTTCCATATTCCTTGCAGGCGACTTCCCTTTCGCATCTGTGTGTGTGTGTTGGTGTGTGTGGGTGTAAGTGTGCCTTGTTGTGTGTTATTTTTGGGTGTGTGTGTGTGTGTGTGTCCGTGTTAAACCTTTTGCCTTTCGGGAAGTTTTCTGGGCCGTGGGCGTGAACCAACAGAATGGCCGCTCAGCCTGACAAGTTGCTTAATTGAAAAGTGTTTTGTTTGGCATGCCTGAGGCCAGGCTGGGTTGCTGCACTGCAAATAAAACATAAGCTATAAATTAAATAACAAAAGAAAATATAAAACTATACTCAGAGTTAAATGAGTTAGAAGTCAGAAATAGAAATACCACTTTTCTGACTTTAAATCAAACTAATATCTTTTTTGCTGAAGTCCTTAAATTTCTTCTAAATTTAGTTTGTCCTTTTTTCTCAGCCTTGCTTCTCTAGGCCTTCAGGATCTTGGCCCCAAACTGCTGATTTGGCAACTTTTACGTTCAATAATTTGCTGCTTATTTATGCGCGTGCTTTAAACCCGGCTAAAAAGGAGCAACAAAGGACTTCCGCTTTCTTTTCTCGCAGGACTTCGTCATGGCTTCTGTGATTACACACTGGAGGGGAGTCCCAGAAGGAGTCCTTGCCGCATATTTATCACTTTTTCACTTTTTATTGCTTCCTCTTTCGCATATCGCCAGCTCCTCGTGTCGTTGCTTTAGCTCCTTCCTATCCTCCGTCATAAATAATTATGTTATTTTAGATTCCCTTCTTATTTTTTTTTGTATTTTTTGTGCTTTGCTTGGGGCGCCTCGCGTTGAGTCGAGATAAATTGTGGCAATAATTATCGCACATTTTTCAACAGCGCCATTTTTCAACGACTCTCAGCTAAAAATTGGTGACAGTTTCAGTAATTAAGTCGACATGGTGACTTAATGACGTCGCCATGCCCGTGTTTATGTGTATTTTATGTATTTTTAATTAACTCTAAATGTTGATTCGGCAGATTTGGGCCTCTGCTAAATTAACCTAATCAAAAGCAACACTCAGTTTTGTGTCTGAAGTGGAGCTCTCTCTCTCTATCTGGAGTCTGTAGTCCTGCAGTTGATCCTTTGTGTCTCAAGTGTTTGTCTGTCTAATTGGTAAATTTAATTAGACGGCCAACGGTCACCTGGTTTTTGTGTTTGTTTTTCCTCCTCGTCTCTGTCCTCGTCCTGGCTGCTGCAACCAGTGTGAAATTCCAATTTTCTGCTCAAAATTTAATAAGCACGCTTCTAGATTTCGGCTAGTTGGGAGTCTAGCTAAAATTTATAGACTCTGCTCCTTTCGTTCCTTCTGGCGGCAAACGTAACTTTAGTTTACCTTTTGCTTTAACTCTGACGTTAACGGAAATGCAACACTCTGGGGCGGTGTGTGCCACGCCTTGATTTTCGCCCTCCAGTCAGTCAACTGAGGCCATTCCAAGGGGTGGGATTTGAGAGTTATTTAGGTTTTAGGATAAGGTGTAAATAATATGGGAGAAAAGGCCTAAAAATTAAATTAAATAGAAATAAAATTGTAGAAAGACATCTATAATTTATTTAGTATATAATTGTTTGAGGCCCAAAATAGGTTTACATATTGTTTATTAAAATAAAACTCTCTATTTTAATATAACAATATATTTTTTTTAATGTTTATATATTAATTATACATATAGTAATATTAGCAATATTTTATAAAAAAATGTATATGATAATTCTTAAGACATATCAAATCTTAAAAAACTCATAACTAAGTCAAAAAAGCATTAATTTTAATTCGGAAAGCGGTTCTGTGTTAGTTTTTATTAGGATAATAAGTCTGCATACTCAATTTCAAATTTGAACATATTCAAAATTTTGTTAATTTTTAAAAATTTAAAAGATGTTAAAAACGACCATAAACATTGAAAAAAAATTAAAAATTTTTTTTTCAACCGGACATGGATAGATCGATTCAGTTTTTTATCCTGATCAAGAATATATATGGTTTATATGATCGGAAATGACTCCTTAACTTAATTTTAAGCTTCTGTCTGAAATTATAATACCATTTTTTAATCGATATTAACTATATTTTAATATGAAAATTTAACGACAAATCAAAATGTAAAAAACTCATAACTAAGTCAAAAAAGCATTAATTTCAATTCGGAAAGCGGTTCTGTGTTAGTTTTTATTAGGATAATAAATCTGCATACTCAATTTCAAATTTGAACATATTCAAAATTTTGTCAATTTTTAAAAATTTAAAAGATGTAAAAAAACGATCATAAACATTGAAAAAAAAATAAAAAAAAAATTTTCAACCGGACATGGATAGATCGATTCAGTTTTTTATCCTGATCAAGAATATATATGGTTTATAGGATCGGAAATGACTCCTTAACTTAATTTTAAGCTTCTTTCTGAATTTATATTACCATTTTTAATCGATATTAACTATATTTTAATATGAAAATTTAACGACAAATCAAAATGTAAAAAACTCATAACTAAGTCAAAAAATCATTAATTTCAATTCGGAAAGCGGTTCTGTGTTAGTTTTTATTAGGGAAATAAATCTGCATACTCAATTTAAAATTTTAACAAATTCAAAATTTTCTCAATTTTTAACATTATTAAAGATGTAAAAAAACGATCATAAACATTGAAAAAAAATTAAAAAATTTTTTTTCAACCGGACATGGCTAGATCGATTCAGTTTTTTATCCTGATCAAGAATATATATGGTTTATAGGGTCGGAAATGACTCCTTAACTTAATTTTAAGCTTCTGTCTGAAATTATAATACCATTTTTTAATCGATATTAACTATATTTTAATATGAAAATTTAACGACAAATCAAAATGTAAAAAACTCATAACTAAGTCATAAAAGCATTAATTTCAATTCGGAAAGCGGTTCTGTGTTAGTTTTTATTAGGGAAATAAATCTGCATACTCAATTTAAAATTTTAACAAATTCAAAATTTTGTTAATTTTTAGAATTTTAAAGATGTAAAAAACGACTGTAAAATTTGGAAAAAAATTTGAAAATTTATTTTTTGACCGGACTTGGCTAGATCGATTCGCCAATTAATGCTGATCAAGAATATATATGGTTTATAGGGTCGGAAATGACTCTTTCACATTGCTATAAGCTTTTGACTAAAATTAAAATAAATAAAATAAAGCTACTTTTCTAAATTTCACAAAAATTTTAATACAAATAAAATCCTAAACTCTTGGAACTCCCCTCGTTTCAACATAAAATATATAACATGGCTAAACTGCTTTGGCGCTGTTTACTGCAGTTTTCAATTAAGTTGCCAATGCCCCTTCTGCCTGGCAATTTCCGTGTCCCTCAAAACTCAAACTCGACCAGGTTGCTGTTGCTGCTGCTGCTTCCCTTTTTAATTAGTTGACAAACTTGCACATTTTTATCGCCGCTTGTTCGCTGTTGTACCTTTGCCAACTTGCTCCTGTTTGTTCAATCCCTTAGCTGTCCCTGGTCCTTGGTTCTCTTATTAATTTCATTTTGCACTTGTAATTGCCAGTATATATATTGCAATGCATCGCTCATACGCAGCGTTGTACCGGAAATTAATTTCCGCTGCGCTTTGGCAGTAATAAAGATCAGGAACAAAAAAAAAAGTGGTGGGTGAAGGGTTATTTCCTTAACAATGTCAGGAGCAGCAGGGTTCTAAACTGAAAGATTGAATAACTGAGCAGAGAAAATTATATAAAATTGTAATATTCATAAATTTTAGATTAGGTTTAGGGTTTTTTAAGAATGTTTATACGGGGAGGAACTACTTTAGTTCTCAATTATTTTTAATTTTTTGACTAAAAATTTATTTTCCGTGTGATAACTAAGGGACTCTTTGAAACACATACCGTCTTTTCAAATATAAAAATTACATTCCTGTTCATTTTTTCTTATATCCAATAAGTTCCTTATATTTTTTTTATATTTCTCTATCTGTACCCTTACTTGTCTTTGAATTTTCCAATAATAATCCTTTCCTTTTCCTTTCCTACCAGAATGTTCCCATATATGAGACTTTTCCGGCAGACTTGCAGCACTGGCTGATGGATAGCTATGGCATCAGTGCCACGGATGTCTTCCACAGCTGGACAGGATTGGGATTCAGTGGAAGGAGCAGCAGTAGCAGCAGTAGCAGGAAGAGTGCAGGTCCCCGGAAGAGTCAACTGATCTGCACTGCCGATGGACAGTGCTATGAGGTCAACAAAATTGTCACCGCCTGCTGTCCATTCTGAGCACACTCAATAAATGCATTGAAACATTGAAAACAATTGAAGGGAAATCATAAATTTGTGGCCGCAGGACTCACAGGAGACAGTGTACAGGACACAATCCAATCGATTGGCATGAAGTTCCGGCATTGTCCGCAATGAGACCATTAAATACCGTCGCTCTCGTGGTCTCTGGTCATATGGCGTCCATCTGTTGGTCAGTTTTTGGAAGGATTCGAGGGGGCTGTAATCGAAAGCGGAAGCTGCCAAGAGCATTGACTGCTGATGCATTGGGTCCTCTGTACGGTCAGCGTTTTTTCCCATTTCTTTTTTTTCTGTGGTGCTTCAGTTAACTAACCGAGATTTTCCGGGTTCATTATACCATGATTTTTTTGTGTGGGACTTCGATTTGGGCACAGGTAAAGGTTTAATATTGTGTTTTTATGTGAAAAGGGAGATTTATAAGGAGCTTGCTTTTAATACATATTGTGAAGTTTTCAGGTATATTTTTTAAATGATATGTTTTATTTTTATTCAGGAAATAATACCAGCTAGTTATCAATACATTTAGGAGCTTTAAAATGTCTAGAAATTATGTTTCTACATTTATTCTTCTACATTTATAGTTAAACCCCTTTTAAAACACCCAAAATAATATTTATAATTTGTATATATTCTTCCCTTAATATCTGTATTAAAAAACAGGGTATTTCCCAGCTCTACTATCGTTCAGATAATCCCCAACAAAAGTCCCTCGGGGGCTTTGTACTCTTTATGCGTGTCTGCAATCAGCGACAACGAATGTTTCCATGTACGGAAAGCGTGCCAAAACAAAAGGAAAAAGAGTGTATCATCACAACAAAAACCGGAAAAGCCCTGCCAACAACAAAAACAATATCAACAACATCTGCATTTGGGGGAAAAATCAACATGCAACAGCGAAAAATGGCAGCAACAAATGTCAGTTATTTTCATGCTGCTCTTGCCTTCGCCACCATCTTTTAACTTTTCCTTTATTTTTGCATGCTGTTTGTGTGTGTGGGATTTTTTGTTTTTATTGCAGAAATCATACATTGATTCGTAACTAAGAAAATGTAGAGGAAAATTCCAAAAGACTGAAGACTTATTTTCAGGGAAAGTAGGATTCTTTGCGGCTTTTATTCAAGGAAGGTTTTTTAAAGAAGCAGAAAGATGCTACAGATAAGATAAGTTATTATATTATGATAACCCCTTTAAAACAATAGATAATTAGTTCTAAATTTTTATTCACTAAAATATTTATGTAAAATTATAATATATATATTTTTTTTAATTTATATAGTACAAGATCCATTTAATTTTCCCTATCAAAATGTGTGAAAAACGTGGCACTGTGCTGCACAGCGTCTCTCAATTGTTTCGCTGGTAAACAATGTGATTTTCAGCGTGAAATTTCATTCAATCGGCACCGGGTAAAGGCCATGGCTATAACCAATCCCCACTCCCCTCAGTTACCAACTCCCCCCTCAGTTACCAACTCATGCAATGGCCATTGGTGGGCAATTTGTGTGTGCGAAGCGGCGCGTGTGTGCAATCGAAAAAATATGTCGAGAGGTTTTCCCTGTTAAAAATAAAAATAAGAAAAAAAGTGCACACAATTTTTATAGTATTTTTAATACCTCCCTCCATTTTGCATTTTTTAGTGAGAGAATTGTTCTGTATATTGTCTGAGAGGATTTTCGGTCTTTTTCTGGGCAAAAATTGCTTTTAATTGATCAAATTGTTTAAATATAAGGCATTCATACGTGCATGCATATATTTGTTTGTTTGTTAGTGTTTCGCTTGATGGGTTTCATGTATGTATTTTAAATTTCAATTTAGCTTGCATTACATTTGTTTATTTTTATTAAAATGTTCCATTAAAAGTGGGAAAAAATTGATTTTTTATGTCTGCATATGTAGTTCAAGTTTTTATTGACATCATAATAGCAATTAACTAAATGTGATTTGAATTTAAATTGTTTTTACTATATGGGCTTTTTTTGACATTTATATTTTTTATGACCAGAATAACGCTTTTGCTATTTTATTTGGCATTTTAAGTTTTTGCCAAGACATTTACTTATTTAATTACAAATAATATTAAATGGTATTTGTTATTTAGCCAATTTATCTCACAAATAAAATAATTAGTTGTGTGTTATTAAATTTATTGAACCATTTGCTTATTTAAATTATTCCCACCATCTGCCTGAGGCCTTAAATTCCTTAATAAAAAAACAAATAAACTATTAAGCTGTGCCTGTTGAAAAATAAATAAATAATTACGTATGTACATACAAGTGTTTTTTTTTGTGGGTTATACAAGAATTCAGTAAAGGTCAAAAACCAATGTCTGAAATATTCGGTAACGATCCATTTAAAAATAACAGCATGGATTATAAAAAAACACGCTCTTAATTGCTGCTCGTTGGAATATAAATAATAAAAAAATATTTTAAAAAACCCTTGATAAAAGTGGACACTTTGATATCCTTTAAATTTAAACATTTTGAAATGCAAAGCGCATTTATTTATTAATTTTATGCTTTGCTTATTAAGGGAATATATTTGAAATATGTTTCTACGATTTCGGGGACTTACAAAATTATATTTAAATATTTCTCAATATTATACACAACCTTTCTGTCATAACCCATCAACTCTTTAATTTCTTACAATCGCCCATCACTTTCGCGGCTCTTTATTTAAACTCTGTTGCAATTTAATTAAAGAGCCTCGCCGATCCAAAATGAAATATATATAAATAAATGAACAAACAGGCAGACAGACAGCAAAAGTGCCGAAAATATTCGCAAGCATAAATGCCAGCGATTTTCCGGGTGCCCTTGCTTTTCCTTACTTAGCAATGGTTGCTGCAACCGGGAAAATGTTGGCTTAAAAGCACTGCTTTTGGCCCTCATTTTTCTCTCCGCCAATCTGTCTGAGTGCCTCACCCATATATACATATGTATATATGTATCTGCTCCTATGCTATATATTCCTATATAGGTAATGCATGTAAACGATATTGCTTCACTCAACTGTCAGAGGGCATTAAATAATATTTTACGTCTGTGTAAGAGAGGCGGTGGGGAGTCATCATCATCATCATCATCGTCATCATCAGGACCTGTGACATTTCTGACTGCAGGCTGCCAGGGAATCCCGAAAAAGGCCTCACCATGGCAACTCCACCGAGCGGACAGAGAGACATATATGTCATGTGCAGAATTATGTAACACAAGCTGAAGGGAAGGGGGGCAGGGCATTTAATTTTTTAAGCAAACTAAAATTCTGGCAGCCTTTCCATCTGCCTTCACATTCAGCATGGAAAATGTGCATAAATGGTTGCATACTTAGTGGGGCTTGGCATGCAGGCTCTTCAAAGGATTTGCTGGCAGCCTAGACCTAGTTTGGGGTTTTTTGATTTAGTTAGGAAAAACGTTATTTGAAGTGCAGTAATAAACGTTCGTTTTTTTAGTTTTGAATTTTCTTGGCTTTGGTGGATTTTATAGAGATTTTATTGTGGTTTTTGAAGGGTTTTTTTTGGGTTAGTTCTTAAATGTAAGGGGTTTTCGTGGAAATTTGAATCAAAATAATTATAAATTGTCTAAAATTAAGCACATATTGAAGCAAACCATTGATTTGCATTAAAATCTAACCAAATTAATATTAAATAAATATTAAATTTAAGCTAAAACCTGTTAAAATTGAGAGAAGAATAACTTTGTTACATTTTATTTAAATATCAATGAATTTGTTGTAAGATTTTCTAGTATATTTAATATATCCATGTAAGCAGTAATTTTTAATTATATATTTCAATGATCCAACATTATTATCCTGTATTTAAACAAATACATATATTATGTAAAGATCCTCTAGTACTCTTTCTTAAAGACCACTTCCATTTTCCCCTCAATTTTCTTCACTTCTCCAAACCCTTGATAGCTAGGGGACAAGTGAGGTTGCTATTCCCATCAGCAATTTGATAGTTGACTAAATTTATAAGGAATGCATTGCCAATGGCAAAGCACTTAGATATGAAATTTGAGAAGTTTTGCCCTGTCTCCTTACCAATATCCCATTTTCCACCCTGGGGGAATTTCACCTGCTGACGACACGAACGTGTCCAAAATGCGGGCCTCAATAATTTGAGGTGAGTTTATTATGCAGATAAACAAAATGGGGTGCCCACCTCGATTTTTGCTGATTCAGCGTTAAGTTTGGCCAACTCTCAGACACACACACATGGCTGACTCTTTTGCCAAAAGCCTTTGGGCCATGGTCAAAAATTGCCGGCAATCATCTAGGCAGTTACCTTATTACAACAACAAAGAGCGACGGCCAGGATGAGGCTAAAACTTGGCCATAACGGGAGGAGTTATCTGACTGTAAATACATAATCTGCTGGCTGGGAGACTGGCCCAAAAGTGAACCCGTCGACGTTGCAGCTTTCTGGTTCCCAAAAGATTTTAGCCGGCTCTTGTGCACCTTGAATACGGATTTACTTTTATTGCGGCAGCTTTACGTTGCCCACTTCTTAAGGCACTGAGAGAAATTAGGGGAAGAAATAAAAAGAAATAAAATAAATATTAATAATAATAATTATAATAATAACTTGAATATGTTACTGATGAGGTTTTGAGATGGTAGTCTTTGAGAAGAAATATGATTGTTTATGTTTACCTCGTTTATAAGTTTATAATATTGTTTTAAAAATATTTAAGTATGTAAATATTTTATTTACTATCCATATACTTCAAAAAATTTTAAAATATACTTTTAAGAATATTTTTTCTAATTTTCAAAGGACCGAACCCCTGTTAACCTCTACCATTTTATTTTTAAGAAGGTTTCATTCCTACCTTCTGTTGTTATTCCCATTATATCATGTTATTTATGATCCTTAAAATGAAGAAATTTTATATTTAATCAAATATATTTAATACTATTTATTAGTAAATATACATTTATATTCTTAATAGATTTTTTCTTTTTTTCAAAGAACCAAAATCCTAGTAAAAACTCTCAAATTTGTTCCCTCTGCAAATCTTCTTTTCTTTTCTACTTTTCGTTATTGTTGCTCTGCTGTTTTTGTTGTTATTATTGTGGGTTCCGCATTTAGGGTTAAGCAGGTGCTTTATAAACCAAGCATCCAGGTGGGCCAGCCTCTAACGGTAAATAAGGACAAATACCACGTAATGGGTAACCTGTGCGTGGCTGAAGCCCCATAGAGTAAAAAACTAGAGGGATAGCCCAGGTGAATCCCTTTCCTCATTCTATTTCACGCAGAGGGGTGAATGGGGACTTGGAAAAAGGGATGCTGTGGAGGCTGTAAAATTTTCACCTTTTAATGTGTCCCCAATGCGCAATCAAAAGATCCTTGTCAGTCACTTTTGTTTAGTTTTCTCCGAAAGGTGAAGACGTGAACTTGTCGCTCTGATGTTGTTGCCATTTTATTCATAATTACTTAAACCAAAGTCTGGCTCGACATCTTTTTAGTGGCTCGTGAAATATTTATTAAGTGTCCGCGAACTTTTGAAATACTTTTCCCCATAATTTTGACGATAATGCGTTGGCTTAGATTTCGGAATTTTGCCCAAGAAGTTCCTTATGGGTTATTAAAGTCCAAAGTTTTTGATAGTTTTCTACTTGCGACGAAGAGTGTTTTAAGTGGTTATTATCTTGCCTGTGTGTGTGTTGTTGAACTTCATAAATTAAATTACGCTTTAAAGTTTTTAATAGCACAAATGTAATTCGAGTTTACAGGTTGTTTTGTTTTTTAAGTGGGAATTTAATCCCTTTATGAAATAAATAAGAGACATTGGTGAAAGTTTAAGCAGGATTTACATGGGGATTTTATTGTATTTAATTTGGGTTTGAAGGAGAAATAGTTCTAGTTTATATTTAAGTTGGAAAATCTAATGACATAAGTTTTGGAATTAAATTACTAAAATTACCTAGGGGCCCACTTTTAACTTTAAATGAATTAATTAAAATTACATAAACCATAGCTAAACTTTCTCCAATAGTGCTTATTTATTCTCTGTTTATTTTATATATATCATTTATTTATAATTTATAAAAAATACTGCTAAATTTCCTACACCATAAAAACGGCTTTGAAATATTTCACAGTTTTAATTATAAACTAAAACCTTTTCAAATATCAACAAAAAATTGTATAAAATTTTGTATAGATTTCCATCTCACTTCCCCCATAAAAAATACCCCAACATGGCCATAAATCCAGGCAATACCCTCTCCCAACTAGTCAAATATCAACTATAACTCACCACAAAAGCAAATAGAAATTGCCTTATATAATCCACACTAGCAACAGCAGCTCTAAGGCCACTAAAATAACATAATTCATACACACACAACACACAAACTCTTCATAGGTCCACCACATGAAAGACAAATAGAAAACAAATGGAGAAACTAGCGGCAAAGCCCGGCCGACATATTGAAATTCATAACTACATACAGAAACCAATTACAATATCAATTTAAAAGGGATTAAAATGGCCTCGTACCGGTCCCCATCCCGGCCTTGGGGCTTAAGCAACGCTACTTCCAGCCAGCTTTGGGCCATGGTCAAAATGCGAGATACTTTGCGGCGTATTTAAGATTTGTTCCCTTGTATAAAATTTGTGAAATTGCAAATTGTATTTGCTGGAGCCAGGAAGGAAAAGGAAGTGAGCGAAAACTTTTAAATGAAATCCTGAGCTGGCAGATTTTCATAATAAATAACGAAGGCATTACACGAGCATAATCAAGCATAATGCCATTGTGTAACATCAAATACGAGTGAGTATATTGTATTGACTCAGGGTAGGAGGAGATGCCCTCAACAAGTGGCAATCTCACTCTCTCCCTGCGATTTGGTGTGGATTTTTGCATAATTTATCTTGTTTGCTTGTTAAATCCAGGAAAATGCGTACACAAAAGACCGCAATTTATTCGTCAGTATTACCAGTATTGGTGGCCAGCGGGCCGAGAACTAATTTGGCTAAGTAAAGATGCAGATAGTGCAAGCCGGAATGGTGTGCAAATAGAGCAAAAGAAGCTGGTTAACTGCAATCTGCACATTAAATTGAAACGCTCGACCAAGCAATTTAATTTCGAAAGTGGCAAAAAACAAGGGAGGTATGTATCTTTATATCACTCATCCTCCTCTGAATTACTGGCTTGTCCTTTCCTCTATGCTCTCATCGATTCGTCGTCCATCCATCATGAACATCAATTGCTGGGTCTTAGGCCCCGAGACAGATAAATCAGTTAAGCATCGTCATGTCAAGTTAACAGGCGATTACAAGGGATTTACCTGACCAGGATATATGTACAACATGGCTAAAAGGCTTTTCAAGGAAGGTCAAGATGGTTCTTACCTAGCTTCTTGTGAGTTATTGTATTGCGTTAAATGTTTAGAAGATTAAATAGTTAATTGGATTTAAGTAAAGATGATTTTTAATCAATTTTAAATAAATATTCCAGTGTTAAGTTCCTTTTTTTAAGTCACACTTAAAGAGAACCCAATTAAGTATAGCTGATTTCGATAGGCTTGACCAATGCATTAAATTAACTGACGATTACAAAGGGCTTTCGACACGGACACTCAGGGATATATGTATATATATAAATATCCCCTCCGTACGATAACCAATCGAGTGTAGGCGACGCAACAAGCAAATGACAATTGAAAGGATAACAAGGAGGACAAACAGACAGACACAGTCCTTTTCACAAGCCCGCTTGTTGATAAAAGAAATTAAACACACACAAAAAAAAAACACAGAAATAAAAGAAAGTTAAGCCCGCAAGACAATTGGCAACGGGTGGGAGGAAATGGTTAAAAGGGGCTTTCCTTTCCTTTGGTTTGGGGATCTGCGGCATTTGTCTCGACTGTCGACTCTGTCTCGTTGACATGACGTTGCGCGAATTGTGTGCCAGGATTGTCTGCTCCTTGTTCTGTATACAGTATTCAGTATTCTGTGTTTTTTGGTTTGCTTTTACTTTTGGCCGTCTGTCGTCTGCCTACCACCAAGTGAGCAACACGCGCCAATGATTATGTTGCCGCTGACAATGACAACAACAGCGGTAACAGCAACAGCAACAGCAACATTAACAGCGGGAAGCAACAGCAGGAGAAGCGGCAACAGTGGGAGCAACATTAACAGTGGAGCAACAGCAACAAAGAGCCTTAAGACCAGCAGCACACACACACAGAGAGAAACACTTATGTTATTGTTATTAATTTCTCACTCACTCTCTCTTGATCTTTACATTTGTTTGTGTGTCTATTCCCCTCTGTGTTTCTCTAGAGATAGCGCTCTCTCTCTCTATAGCGCTCTGCCTAACATTAACATTAGTGATATCCATTGCTCTCTCGCTCACACGTTCTCTGTTCTCTTTGCTCGGGGACTATAAATAGAGGCACGGAGGTCGCACTCCCCTCATTCAGTGCGCGGCCCACCCAGTGTAAACATCTACGGTGATATCATCCATCGACTTCAACAATTTCATCTGATCAACACAATACATTTGGATAACCAGGAAGAAGCCCATTTCAATAATGAAGTAAGTCTTAAGCATGACAATGTATATTTAAATATAGTATTAATTAAATACCTTATCAATTAAATATTGATATATAAAACATATATTTAATTACTTTTAAATTGTTTTTTTTTTTTTCCAGTGCCTCACTAGCAACATCAAGCAGTCACATTAGCCTTATGAAGCAACTTAAGAAGCAACAGCAACCAGCAACAGTCAAGACTCCGAAAAGAGTCTGCAACATGAGACAGAAACTATTTTGTTGGCAACATTCGGACTCCAGTTGGCGGCAAATGTTCGGTTTGCACGAAGCTTTTCATTGACTAAATGTGACGCAGGCGCAACACTAACTCCGATTTAAGGCCAATCCTCCGCCTTCAATTTCAGTTCGTTCTTGTCACTCGTGCGTGTTGGTCACACGCGGCGTATGAGTGATATTAGTTGATCCATCCCAGAGTCAAAGTCGAAGTCGTTTTATTGGATTTTGGCGCAAGTAAGCACACAAAAAGCCGGCTAAAGTGTCGCTTCTCGTGTGTGTCTGTGTGTTGACGGAAATACTTTGAGCAATCGAAAAAAAGGCAAAAGAAAAAAAATAAATAGAGAGGGAAAGGTGGAAAAAAAACCAAAAGAAAAAGTCTTGGAAAATTAACTTGGCCCATTCGTTATATTGCGAGTATTGTTCTTAGTGGTTATATATTTTGTTTGGTTTCTGCCCAGGCCCCCTGCCAGCGCGAAAGTAGGTTAATTGACGTGTGTTGTGGGCGTGTATCTACGGGGGAAATAATAAAAATATATACGTAACGAAAACAAATAAGAGAGCTGCCCTCGGTGAAGTGGTCAATTGCCCCAGCCAGAGGCTTCTGAACTCATCTGCAGTACATTCTAAGGGTGTGAGCGAGCCTTGGCCCGAGCTTATTAAAGGTATGTAAAAGGAGACTGCTCTTATCACGAAAAAATGTAAATTATATTAAGAAGACTTAGAAAGAAGGAAAAAAGTAATTAATGCAGGCATAAGATAATATGAAGCAAAGAAAATTTAAAGAAAAGTGTGAGCAAGGGTTAAGCCTAAATGAAAATCAACTGAAAAAACCTGAACAAATATATGAAAAAGACTTGCCATAGTGATATTATAAAGGATTATACTAATTAAAAGCTAATAATAAAGTTGAATTGTTATTTTAAATAAATTTAAGGGCTATTTCAATCACTCATTTTATTATTCCAATCATCAAATATTTAATTGGTAGCCACCACTTTGCTAATGGCTCTTTAAATAACTCGCTTTCATATTATTTTCGGGGGCATTGCATTGGCCTGTCATAAATTTCCATAATTTATCAATAATAGTAGAACAATGCATTGGCAAAATATCTATTGTTTTTAGTTGAATGAGTCTAGGCACTGATAATTTATTTTCCTTTTGGCCAATTTTAATTAGTTTTTGATATGAAAAAGCCATGGAAAATGTGGGAATCAATGAACTGTCAGTTATGTGAATCGATAAAAAATGTTTTATGGCTATAAAAAAATGGTGTTAAATTTATCTAGGGAGTTGAAAAAGGTTACAAATTTAATTGACTTTTTTGAAATAGAAGTTTTGTTAAAATATTGAAAGAAAAATATAACATAAAAAATAAGTTTATACATTATTCTAGAACAACTCACATAAATATTTTTATATACTTTTCATTATGACATTATTATGTAATATATTATTTTAAAGTTACTTGATTTCATTTAAGTATTTCCCATTGACATCCATTTAATGTATTTTAATTCCAAAACCCCAGTAAAATACTCATCCCTTTTGTAAACCAAATTATAATGAAATTACTCTTAGTTAGCTAAATACAAATATTAGTGCAAAATCCCTCAATTAAAACATTTGATTTTAATTGCAAAATGCCTGACAAACTATCCCTTAATTAGCCACATAATCCAGATGAATTTTTCGTCTATTGTCGCATTGACACTGCAGCAGCAAACATGAAAAAATAAAAACTTATATGTACATATAGTATAATGCCAAAGGGAATTTTATTGCATAACCAGAAACAAAACATATGCAAAATAAACTTCAAACAAATGTCCCCGCACACCCAGAAAAAACACACAAACACACAAAAAAAGGGTAAATAAAACAACAGAAATTAAAATAAACAAAGTGAGCAAAGGGTTTCGTGGGAGTGGTTGCGTTTCGGTGCCTTAAAGGCAACTCTGTTGCACAAATTTATTAATTCTTTTTTTTTTTTCATCTCAAAGTTGTGGCTATGTGTGTGTGTGTTGGTTGGGGTGTGTGTCAAAATTGAAAAGCATTCCTTTTGGACGGGCAATGTCCTGGCAGCTGCGGGTCTGTGTGCGTGTTGCCTTTCGCCTTTGTTTTATTATTTTGCGGAAGCTGCGAACCAACATTTATAAAAAGGTTTTTCTTGCTCGCCAGGCTACGTGAGCCATGCAAACACACACCCATACACACACACACCCGGCACATTGCTCTGCATTACCGTTATTTTATGACGGAAGTACATTTAAGCAGATTTTTTTTTCCACAGGACTCGCGCTCGCAAAAAAAGGGCTGCTGCCAAATAACAAAGCAAAAAAATAAAAATAAAAGAGCAACCGAGGAAATTTAAATATTTTCTTTTACGCTCTGCTTTTCATTTGCCCGTCTCGCTAAAATTTATGACCAACAAAATTGGAATATGCCCCGAAACAACAGCAACAATAATAAAGACACAGCACAAAGTTTACTTCGATTGCCATAAAAAATAAATGCAAAAAGGATCATAGGGATTTTTTTGTTTCCTAAAAAAAGTAACTTAGGGATGGTTAAGGAAAAAAGTTTGGTGATATGATATTGACAAAGTATGTTAAAGTTAAGATCTGGATTTCAATGTGTGTTTTTATCCAAAAAATATTTTTCTGAAGTCAATTTAAGTATATTTGAATAATATAGAAAATTTCTTACTGCAATTGGGTCAATAAAATACCCATAAATAATTTAGAGGTACACAGAGAGTACATCTCTTATTATTTTCGAAAATATCGATATCTAATTCTAAATATTTTTGATATCAGTAAATACTAAACATATCGACTTTCGGTCCAATATAAATCTATCTAATAAAACCAAAAAGAGGCAGAGACAAGAAGTCACTTCCTTGAAATTTCACCCCACATCTCCACCACATATTTCATTAATTGAAATTTAATACAATTACCAAGGCGAATGTGTGGAAAGCCAAGTGAAAGTCAGCACCAAAAAACACACATAAATTCAAAACATTCACACACACTCACCCTGCTGCTGTGTTGGGTGAGAGATTCTTTGCCAAGTAAGTGACTCAATAAATAAATTTACTTGCCAACTTTTTGCGTTGCTTTCTCTGCTCTGCTGCTGGTGCTGGTGCTGTTGTGGCCTTGGGGGACTGATTGTTGCTTTCTCAAGGTAGATTTGTGTCCCAGGACCAGGACCAGGACCAGCCACAGGCCAAGTACTTTGCCAAAAGATCTGAGGATACTTGGAGCCGTAATAAACAACACTTGATCGGGACAGAAACATGGGGCACAAAGTTAAGCGCTCTTTTTGTTGGGGCAACTGGAATATATATTTCAATAATTTAACTTGATAAATAAGAATAAACGGAGCCATTCATTCTGGGTAGACTTCATAAGGGAATATTTCAAAGAATATTCTATGAAATTGTTTACTTAAGGTTAAGCCTATATATTGTATATTAGGGGATAAATATATTGGAATATTCTTAGTCTTCAAATTAATTTGATTTCTATTCTCTCAAAATGTAAATATATATTTAATTATTTCCTTGAATCTCCCCTTCAAGCTCTAAATTATAGGATGCTCTGCATTATGATCTAATCTTAGTGAGGGTCGTAAAACAGAATTCCCAAGAATAAGAACTTGAATTTGCACAGCATTAGCACGAGGGCAACCGAAAAATAGGAAAAGCAGGGGAAAACTCGCAGAGCTGAGAGCATTTATTAAGTAAGTGAGCTATTCAAAATCAAAGCAGCGGAAAAATCCAGCAGCATGTCGGGGAGGGGGTGAATGTGTCGCCTGATGATTGTCAGGCAAATGTCAAGCTGAAGCTTCAGGGGATGCGATGCTCAGCTAGTCTCACGTCTCGTTTAGGTCTTCCTTCCTACCTGTTTGCCCTCTGATTTTCCCACGGATTTTACCCTGCTTTTCTCGCCACCTCCGCTTGCCCTTGCACCAGCAGAGCTGCAACAATGTGCAGACATTTATGGCACCAGATGCCGTCGGCAGCAGCAGGTGAAATGCCTTGAGTGGCATCGCAATGGCAGCTGGTCCGCCATTCCAATGCTGCCGCCGCCATTTCCATGACATTTCCGTGGTGCGTTTGCCGGAGCACTGAAAGCGCATTAGCTTTGTCATTTATCGCTGCATACTTTCCGGCATCTTTGTTGCCAATTCCAACAGGAACGCGAGAACGTTGGCTTAAAGCGTATCCTTTCACTCCGAAACTGAATACACACAATCTCGCAGGTTAGCAGCAGCTTGAACTTAAAGTTAAGTTTGATTTACCTTCAGCGTTTGGGGTTTTTTGATATTTTAGGCAGAGAGGGGAAGAGATTAATTTTTCTATAGTCAGAGGTGTGTGCTGGGGTTTTTCAAGGGTTTTTTTAAGAAGTTAAGTATTAATAGGGTATTTTGGATAATTTTTTAGACAATTTTAAATGAGTAAGTTACTTAATAACAATATTTTACAATACGTAGTTATTTTTTTTAATTTTTGGGGAAAAAATAAAGAACTTTTAAAGATATTTTTACAATGGCTGTGGAGGCTTTGATATGTTCATGAACATATTTACTAAATTTTTTAACATCCCAGAATTAAATAAATTGATTTACTTATTAGGGAAATTGATATTAGGTCAAGAAAAGCTAACTCAAACCATTTCATAAATGCCAACAATTAAATAATACTTCAACAGTTTCAAAACAAACACAGTTTCTTTGCCGAAACCTTAGCTTTTCACAACCTATATATTAAAATATAAATATATATATATTTTCAATATGCATTTCAAGACTGTCTGTCCTCTTTATGTCATTGCTGCCGATGATGTGTGCTGTCATATTTCGCTTATCAAAGTGCCACTGACAGATGGGAGGTCACCGAGCAGAATGTTTGGTTTTGGTTCCGGCCAAAATGTCAAGGTTCCATATGCTTCGTTAGCTGCATTCTCATAATGTACATAGCCAGGATCCTTCAGTGAAGAGAATGTCTTAATTAAAGGCTTGAATTTCCAATTTTCAAGCATTGAAAATGAATTGTATATAGACACAAGAGGCAGTTTCTCTTTTTTACCTTTCACTCATCCTTTTCCTTTGTGTGTTTTTTTTGTGCATAAAAAGTGTGAACAATTTTATTGTGTGGAAAATTTGCTTGCTCACATGTGTACATGTGTGCATGTGTGTGTGTTTGGGCTTCGGAACATACTCTTGCATAATTTAAAAATGCCCGCATCACTCATACGCAGCGTTGCACGCTCTTGGTTGCCGTGATATTTCGTGCCAGGCGGCCAAGGTAACAACAATGGGAAAGGTCGCATTTTCACCATAGTCAGAGTTTGTCTTCTTTTTTGTTAGCTTTTTGGTTTTTTTATTACTCCCCTATTTTGTAGTTTAGCCATTGTTTGTTTTAAACTCTTTTTCGTACGCTAGCTTAGCTTTATGAATTCGTGTTGGAATTTATGGGAAATGTGTCAAATTTCGGTTGAAAGTTATGATTTGGTTTTTGCCGGTTTCAGTATAATTTGTAGACGGGATAATTCGTTAAAAAATGGGAATATTCCACCTTAAATATGGATAGCAGATTCGGAAACTTGCCTAGTTTAGTTGTTGTGTTTTTCTAGCTACACAAATGCAGAAATTC